AAAACAAACCATTTAACGGATAGGAGATATGTGATTCGAGTCATCAAACATGCAGTGAATCACAAACCTTTCGGCTTTGTTCTAGGATGGTTTTGAATGTAAGCTGAATATTAGGTTCATATCCATCTCCTCACTCACTTTTAGAAATAGAAGTTTCTACCGGTTGTAAATTAATACATCGATCGATTAATCGATTGTTAAAACGGTAGATCGATTTTGTCTCTGACTTATACTATCGGCCACTCTCAAGTTCCTGAAAGTCTGTTCTAACTTACTTCGATTCTGTTCCATAGACGTTATAGTTGACACATTTTCCATTGGTAAAATTCGATTTTTTCGACGTAAAATCTTTGTTGCAATAAAAGATGCAAGATGGCGTACGATGAATGACAATATGCCAATAGAGCCAGTAACAGCCGTGAAAATAAAAAAAATGTCGAAACGTCTTGTATATGAATATGAGCAAAAAGGACAATTGCATTCTGAAAAATATTTATCAAATCGAATTTCAGTTGTTGTTCCATCTATCATTAATTTATTGAAGATTGACTGTAGTGTTGAATACATAGAAAAATTTTTATTCGATGTAGCTGATAATGGTTTAATATTCATCGATAATTGTCCATGTAAAATTGAAATACATGATTGATTATAATAACACTCAAGTGTTGAGGCAAGTGCACCATCAACAACTAAACAATCTACTATCATTCCAGGTACATTAACTAAATGACTATAATTATCAATAAATGTAGCAGATCGTGGGCAACCTTCAATATTTAAACAAGTACAATTACCAAATGTTTGAGTTGTCATTCTTGGAGATATTCGTGCACCTAAATGTTCTGGTGAATAACGTAAATAGAAATTTGTTTGTAAACCTGATACAACTTGATTTCCACGTGCTATACGTTGAAAAGTAAGTAAATTACGAACTGATGTTGCATTTGATAGATCTATTTGGTTTTGAAGAGCATTTTCAGCTTGACTCCGAAGAATTCGCTCAGCAACTGCCGTAGGAGTGATAAAGCTTGTGACTTCAAAATTTGCAAGAACATCATCCCAACTTTTGTTACTTGCGATACATAAACTAGCAATTGTTTGCCAAAAAAAACTAAGAGTAATACGAACATCATCGATAGATTTCATTGAAATATTTTCATTTGTAAATATTTTTTCAATCCATGTCTGTTGAATGAATTCACTTGAACAAACTTGATGAAAACTAACTTTATTAGTAACGAATTTGTCATAGTTTGTTGAAGATTTTGAACATGGGCAATGAAGAGTATTCGGATACTTACGAAGTAATTGTGAAAATTTCTCATGTGAAGGTTTATATTCAATTTTGTCAACAGGTCGAACGATAAGTGCAACAGTAATAGTAATAATAGATAAACATACAATTAATGCAATCAAATAAATACGAGTAGAAAGAAGTTCTTCCTCAAGAGTATGTTCATTACTTGAATGTTTTTTGAATAGATTCAATTCGAGAAATTTTTTCCATATACGATTCACTAGATTGCGTATCATTTTAAGACTTTCACCTGCGATTAAAAAAGTAATCGAATGACTTTTCTACGTATAACTACCAGAGATTTATATTCAAGAAAAATGATGAATGATGAACATGTTTTATTTTATATTTGATAGTTTGTGATAAACTTTGTTGTTCATCTATTATTGCTAAGAAAAATGATTGATGTGAAAGGAGTTTTATTTTAAAAATATAAGAAAATCATAAAACTACTTTATCTTCATTTGCAGTGAATGATTGATAAGTTCTGAATTACTTTACATATATTTTGAAAAACATTTAATAAAAAAATCTTTCACAAAAAATAGTAAATACGTTGAATATTTAATGAATTTATTATAGACTAAATTAAATTAATATTCGTCTATGATTTAAATTTTTACTAAGTATAATAATTAATTTACTAAACTCGATGAATAAAAACAATTTATTACTAAGTAAAGATGGTTGAGACATAAGAAGAATTGTCACCTGCTGCTGTGATGTGTACATTTACTTTCATTAGTACTAATATGGCGTCATAACATACGTAATTTTGTTTTTCTTTATGACGTCATCTATGTTTATCTTCACTGTTTTTCAGAGATTTCTTCTCCTCTTATTCTTGAGGATGTCGCTGTGAATAGTATTGTTAACTGATAACTGTATCCTCATCTATAACTTCTTTCTTATTTCCATTAGCAATAATTTGATCACAACTTGTATTTAATCTCTATTTCAACAACATAATCATTTCTTATATCAGTAATAAAATACTACTAGGATAATTACGCTGATTTATTCCATTTTGTTTAGCAATAGTTGTTTCATTTTATCTCCATTTAAAATCGGTATGAATTAACATAGAAAATTTTTTCACTCAACTCTATTACCTTCATCTTTTCGACAAGACTATATCTATTATTCTTGATCTTGATAACATGATGATTATTTTCAATGATACTAATCAAATTCATCATATCATATCTTTCGATTTAATTAAAATTAGTAAATGTAAGCGTCATTAACTATAAAAGATGTAAAGATATTTCTATTTGCGAGATATTTTCATCTAATAAAAATGAATGCAATATGAGTGGGTTTTCTTTAAATAATGTCATTCAATGTCAAAACTGAATCTAAAGCATTATTTGTTATATGAAATAAAAATTTATCAAATCTATAACTATAAAACATCCATCATTTTTCTTTTTGTATTTCAAGAACATTTATTTTCTAAATAAAAATATTTCCTTATAAAAATCATCAATCTTTCTTCTTAATACATCATCGACGAGCTTGAAATATCAGGTTTTTATGATTATTATAAAGATGATCATGCGAATTAAACTGCCCATTTGATAAAACTCTTTCCTATATTATTTGAGATCAAACTCAACTGAAAATGATGGATGAACACCGAGAAAATATAAAAACACAGTCAGAGTGTGACAAAGCAATTTTTTCTCAATGTGAGGAGGTGGATAAAATATAATTATAACATTTATCAACATCATATATACACAGACTAAAAAATATAACATAATAGTAAACTATTTTAGTTGAGAATTAAACATATGTCAGAAGTGCTATTCTCCAACACATCTAGTTGTAACTCATACTTCATTTGATTTGAGCTTTCGTGGTTTTCCTGGTAATCTTGGTAGTGTTCTTGTTTCTCATTTTGATCATGATATTATTTGTGCTCCTGATAATGATATTGCTGCTGTTTATCATTGTCTATGCGAAGATAACACTGTTGCTTGAGTTATTATTATGAATAAAGATTCATGGATATTTCAAGTCACTGAGAGAGGGTTGAAAAGTTTTAGCTGATTTTTGCTGTTCGCGAAGTAATGTCATGAAGAGGTTTATGAGCAGTGTACGAGATAGCGGCTGTGTGAGTAGAACACTGTGTCAGTATTGTCTTATGATGGTAGAGCAACCTTCGAGTGCTTGAACATTAAGCTTTGGTGGGAAGACGGATACTATGGAAAGTCGTGATTTGATGTGTACGAATGACAAAAAGAATAGAAGTATTGTAACACGTTTCACGAATATTGCTTCTTGTTGGCGTAGACTGTTATAGGGTGGGTGTGAGTGATAAGTGATTGCTGTATCTATGCCCATACCCATCCACACTCACACCCACACTCTCAATATAGATAAAGCTGGTCTATGTAAGGTTCAAAATGATAGATCAAAAATAAGCTACTAACTGAAATTTTTAAAAAATATTATACATTTAAAAGAAAGTTAGATATACACAATATCAAGTATTTTGCCACAAGTCTCTTCTACAAGGTCCTACAATGATCGATTTCTGTTCGCATATATGAAATAGAATATTAAGATCATATAAGGAATTGTGCAAATTAAATCATCGATTGATGCGCATGCAAAACTCAAAAAGAAAAATTTACTTAATTAAGAAACTAAATTGTGAATAAATTTTACTTGTTCATACAAATTCAATAAGAAGAAACGTAATCGAAGCATATATATGAACTTTTAGGTTGGTTGAGCTTAGTTTAAATAAATTATGGTTTCTTAGACACAAATCTGATCTAATTCTTCATTGTATCATTGCTGTTTAATCAGTTTATCGTTTACTGAAATCTGAAATTTAATCTTCAAAGCTAATAAAAAACAAACTTTTGAATACCTACGAGAAATAAGTGATAGGCAATCTTTATCAATAAATATTATTCGAACAATTAACTGCACACATATTTAAATAGAATTCTTTTCTTTAATCATTTTAAGATAAGAGTAAAGAATTTAACGAATCCTATATAATAGCAAGTCAGATTACTTTCTGACAAAATAGCACTATTTTCGTCTCAGGAACGAGAGACATCTATTGAAATCAATACCTTTGGCTTAATAAAAAGGAATCTATGTCCATACATATATATATTTGTTTATTTTCTGATTCGATCCTTTGGCGTATATGTCTGCATCATCTTTTTTCGATAACTCACTTAATGAATTTGTTTAAAATATCAAATAAACTCTAAATTATTAAAACCGTAATTATGCTTTTTATTATAATAACGAACGTTTCAGAAATAACAAATTTCTCAGATATAAATATTTTATCAATTTGTTTTAGATGAACAGTTTTTGATAAAACATAGAAATGGATCGAGAACCTTGGTTAGTTGAAATTTAAATTAAAGAAAATACTAAACTGAATTTATATCTCTTTTTTAGCCCTTGGCGTATTGTGGATGATTGTGGAGGTGCCTTTGCTTTAGGAACAATTGGTGGTACACTTTTTCATTCTATCAAAGGATTTCGTCATGCTCCCAGTGTAAAGTGTTTTTTTTTGTTCTCTTATTGAAAAGTCAATGTATAATTATTTCATATTTATTAGGGTCAATATCGACGTTTATTAGGTAGTTTAAATGCAGTAAAACAACGAGCACCACGTGTTGGAGGTAATAATATAAAATAAAAATTATGATATATTAATGTTTGTTTGTCTTTTTAGCATCTTTCAGTGCATGGGGGTGCATATTTTCATTAGTTGACTGTAGTTTTGTTTATCTAAGAAAGAAAGAAGATCCATGGAATTCAATTATGAGTGGAGCATTGACCGGAGCTGTTTTACAAGCTCGACGTAAGTTAATTCTTCGAGCTTTCTATTTAAAATGATAATAATTTTAGAGGGACCAGCCGCTATGTTAGGTTCAGCTGTGATTGGTGGTTTTATTCTTGGAATGATCGAAGGAACAGGTATATTAATTAATCGATATAGTCAATATCTTATGCCACAACCTGGAATGGAAGGTAAACCTATTTTTTTCTATTTTATATTCATTAATATATTTCCTTTTTTCTTATTTAGAATCTCCACCTGATCTTGATAAAGGCAAAGTCGATCTTTCTATCCCACAATTTTTCGGTTCATCTTCTGGACAATCCTCTACGCCTAGTAATTTTTCGTGAAATGGTTCTTGTTTGTTTTCCCAATTCCGATTTAGAAGTAACATTGTGAAATAGATCAAAAACCGGTTTTAGGTTTTTTTGCCCTTTTTTTGTTCTGTTGTATTGCATACAAAAATTATTGTCCATCGTGTTTTTGAATGAAAGAAAAAGACGACTGTCAGAAAAAAAAACGAATAAATTTTCATATTAATCAAGAATATTTAGTTTGTTATATTTTTTTAAATAACAGTGGATGATTAGTGAGTACATGTTTTTTTTCTGTTGAAAAACTGATAAGAATCTCATGCAATAGATGTAGATTGTTGACTTTGGCTGTTCTTCTTTTCATAAGATCAAGTTAAAAAGACGACAAGTGTTGAATAATTTTTTATTTTTCTTCTCATTACTTTTTCCCATATACAATGTATAAATCAATATATTATCTATGGTTTTTTCTCGTTACAATTCAAACACAATTCATTGATGATGATTCATCCGATCCATTAGGTATGGACGAAGCCAATTTAACAATAAGCAATACAAACTATCCACATCCTATTATATTTACATATAATGTAATAGAATGTGAACGATGTAATTTTGAAAGATTAAATGATTTAATTCAACCAAATACTAGTTATATTGTTAAAATCAATACAGTCTATGCGTATGATTTTCGTGTTATAAATGAAACAAATGAAACTGTATGTCAAATAAAATCATATAAATTCTCTGAACATGGTTCATATCAATTTGAAAGTTCTTGTATTATATATCAAATAGAAGAATCAGGTTATTATTGGTTACCTGTGATCATAGGCATGAGTATTATCTTTCTATTCATTATATTTACACAAATATGGCATTGTATATCTCGTAGTCCACGTTGTGCTCGTTTTCTTCCTAGTTTTACTCAACAAGAATTAATAAATAAAGATTCTTTTATTCAATTACCAAGAACTCCAACAACAATTGTTAATGATTCAAATGATGATATTATTGGTACACTTTCATCAAGTACTGAATTACGGTTAGTTGGGTCAACACGATTATCAAATAATTCAGTTCGAATTACAAAAGTTTTACCTAAACGTCTTCGATCATTAGATACATTTCGAGGATTATCATTGATGATCATGATTTTTGTTAATTATGGTGGTGGTGGATATTGGTTTTTTAAACATTCTGGTAAGTTTTATTTTTAAAGCTATACATGATTTTTTTTAATTTGCGTACATAGTTTGGAATGGTTTAACTATTGCTGATATGGTTTTTCCATGGTTTACATGGATGATGGGCATTTCAATTGTTCTTTCACAACGATCACTTCGAGCAAAAAATATACGAAAAAGCACAATTTTTTTCAAAATATGCCGACGAACTCTAGTACTTTTTACATTAGGTATAATGCTACAAGGTGGTTCTGAAAGATGGGTTTTTATTCGAATATTTGGTGTCCTTCAACGGTTAGCTATATGTTATTTTTTCGCTGCTATACTTGTACTTATTTTTGATGATGCTGAAGATGAACCATATTCATCTGAATGGCCCATAGGTAAATTTATATTTTTTGCAAAACAAAAAATTATATATCGAATATTTATTTATGAAGGTGATGATGTTCATCAGCCGATACGAATAGAATTATCCAATACATTATTTCATTTTTGGCCACAATGGATTTTTATTTTATTGATCACTCTTGCTTGGATTTTAATTACTTTTCTACCGAAATTTGAAAATTGTCCACACGGTTATTTAGGGCCAGGAGGAAAACATGAACAAGGAAAATATGAAAATTGTACTGGAGGTATATTTAAAATTTAATTTTTTTTTTATTAATTCATTGAATTGATTTATTTTTAGGAATGGCTGGATATATTGATAGATTAATTTTAAGAAGTTCTCATATGGATAATCATCCAACATGTAAAAATGTTTATGATACTAAAATACCATACGATCCTGAAGGTAGAGAAACACAAAAAAAAATATGAATTAGTATTTTATTTCATTTCCTATAGGGCTTTTGGGTATTTTAACTGGAACTTTACTTTGTTATCTTGGTGTTCAAGCAGGTCATAGTTTTGCTCATGCAACACGTATACGTCGTGTTTGTGCTCATTGGATTATATCTGGTTTTATTTGTGGATCAATTGGTTTAGCTTTATCAAAAGGTGGTCAATCAGATAGTTGGATACCAATTAATAAAAATCTTTGGTCACTTAGTTTTGTACTTATTTTAGCTGGTTTAGCTTTCATTATTCTAACAATATTGTATTTACTTGTCGATGTTTGGAATTGGTTTACTGGTGAACCATTTTTATGGCTAGGAATGAATTCTATTGTTATTTATGTTGGACATGAAGTATGTTCAAATATGTTTCCTGTACAATTTAAAGTCGAAGAAACAAGACATTGGCAATTAATGACTATGCATATTTATGGAGTTATGTTTTGGACTATTGTAGCAGGTTTAATGTATCTTAAAAAAACTTTTATTGCGATTTAATTGTAATGCGATATATTCATTTTTTGTTTTTCGAAAATCTATGAATTAATAAATTTCTTTTTTTTTATATATTCTGGTAGCCTACTCCCTCTATTGAAAATTTCTATTGATGATGTCTAGAAACCTATATTTTTACCTCATGTCAACTTGAGAATTTTATTATTCTTTCATACAGTTTTGCAATTACATAAAACGAAAATGACTAGTAAAGTTGAATTGGTTCCAATCTCGGAAGGTAATCGTGTAACAGTAAAAGAAAATGACAAAATCATTATTGGACGTGGATCATCATTAGGTGTATGTGTAAAATATTTGTAAATTTTTTTAAAATAAATCATTATTTTAGTGTAATGATAAAAAAATTTCTCGTCAACATGCTGAATTATTACTTAAGAAAGATCAAACACTTTGGATTAAACCAACACATAGTAATCCAGTATTTTATCGACCTTTAAATTGTAAAACAATTCATTTAACAAAAGATATTGAACAAGAATTAAAAGATGGTGATCAAATTGGTTTATTACCAACAACGTTTTTCTTTCGTATCAGTTTCTCTACGGATACGAACAATAATAAAGATGCAACATCATCTAAATGTATAGATAATCATATCAGTATTGACACAAGTAAAAGATTAACAACAGATGTTGATAATGTTACTACTTCATCTTCTATAAAAGATCAAGTATGTTAATGTGAAACTAGTACCCTCTTCTTCATATGTTTTTATTCTTTAGGAGGAGTCTCAATCTGAAAATTCAAATAAACTATTACGTAAACTACCAGCATGGATGTCTCCATCAACTTCTTCTCCTCGTTCAGATAATACGAAACGACAATGTAAGTGTATATTCATTAACTATAATGATAACATTAAAAACAAACTTTATTACAGTAAGTTTAGACGAAGATACTAATGAACCAACTACAGAAACTTTTGATTCTGTTACACCGAAAAAAAGTATGTATTTAAATAATTATTACTAGTTTTTTAAATAAGGTTTCGATTTAGTTAAATCAAATAATAAACCTCGTCCACCTTGTCAATATGGTGCATCATGTTATCGAAAAAATCAATTGCATCGAACTGAAGAATCACATCCAGGTGATTCTGATTATGAAGATGAAAAAGAAAAAGAAACTAAAGATGATGATAATAAAGATACTACTAGTAGTGATACGGATAAACCTCAATGTCCATATGGTAAAACTTGTTATCGACAAAATGCTCAGCATAAACGTGATTATAAACATTAGACTAGTTTAAATAATCGATTGTGAGAATTGTTTTTTGATTGTTTTTTAAAATAAATTTTGTATATTTTAATTCAAATCTTATATTGAATCAATTGTGTTGACCAAAATACAGCGACATCTAACGTATTAATAAAACAAATAGAGGAAATTGCACATTGTATATGAGATTTTCGTTCATAACTTGTTCTCTATCATCAATTCTCTGTTCTCATGTTCATTGCTCATTCGTATGTATCGAACAACTCATCGCTAGTGGTAGTCATCTTGCCTTCATACTCACTTCTTTCGTTCGCGTTAACTGAACAAACAAACCATCGTCTATACGGTGTGTATGTCTACCTTTTTTCTCCTCCTCTCTCTCATCTTTTTTTTTTGTTGCCTTCTTTAATTATATGTGAGTACACAGACATCTCTATTGACGTTTTTTTCTCTTAAGATAATGTCTTCGACGAATGGTACTAGCACATTACGTGTTAATGTTGCATTATTTGAACGTGATGTGGTTAAACTTGTACTCGATTTTCTTCAACAACGTGAACTTTATATTAGTATGCTTGATGTCGAACGTGAAACAGGTAGATTTCAAAAAGCAATTAGATCTATTCATATCTGGTTTCACTCACTTTTTTGTTTAACGATGTCTGGGCTTTTTCGTTTTTAGGTATTATTAATGGTTCATTTTCGGAAGATATACTTTTCTTACGACAACTTATTTTGGATGGACAGTGGGACGATGTCATTGATTTTGTTCAACCATTAAAAACAATCGAAGCATTTGATGCTAAACAATTTATTTATATTGTACTTAAATATCAATTTCTTGAATTATTATGTTTAAAAACTGAAGCACAAATTGAAAATGATTTATCAGTTGAACAAATTGTGAAGTAAATCAAATATGAATTAAAAAAATCAATATATACATATATCTTTCTTTGATTAGGTTTCTCAATGATTTACGACCATTTGCACCAAATGAACAAGAATATAAAAAATTATCTTTTCTACTTACACTCAAACGTTTACAAGAACATACAGATTATTCAAATTGGAATCCTAGTGCTGGTCGTGTACAATGTTTTCAAGAAGTATTACCACTTGTTCATCGATTTTTACAAGTATGAAACTTCTTTTTTTGTCAAATTACGAATAAAGAGATTAAGACATTTTATAAATATTGTCTATGTACTTATATAGTTATAACATATACAAACATTTCTTAATCTTTCATTCTAGGTAGACAAACAAATGATTCCTATAGCCCAAGGTGATCGTTTAATTCAATTACTTGTCAAAGGTCTACTTTATGAATCATGTGTTGAACATTGTCAAGCACGTGCAACAAGTACAGATGAAACAATTGATCTCACTGATCCAAATTCTTTATTATCAAATACACGTTTATCAGATACGGATGTTTCACTTCTTTCATGGCTTCATGCACTACCAACTGAAATATTTTCATGTCCATTCGAACAAAAATCTTTAACATTAAATATTGATAAACTTCAAAAACCTGTTCTTGAAGCAACATGGGCTGAACATGTTTTAAGTACTCCATTTAAACCTCAAACAATGTTTCCATTTAATGCAACACCTACAGGTAAACCACGATCAACTGAATTAATGTCGCGTTCATTAGCACCACAATATGATGGATTATCTTATGGTCTTATTCGTTCACAAATATTCGGAGATTATAATCGTAATTTTGTTAATGATATGAGTCGTTCACTAGCTGTATGTAATGTAAAAGATAATGGCATTAATAATATAACACCCCCAATAACAACAAATTTACCAACAGTTGAAGAAGTTCTTTATGAAGAAACACCTCCACCACCTTCGCCACCATTGCCACCACCACCAAGTTCATTATCACCCGTATCAAATAGAATGTCTCCACAAAATTCCTATCGTTCACAATCACCAAAACGAAGTGTAACTAGTCCTCCATTGATAAAACAAACAAACAGTACAACGATAAGTGAAAATGGTAATCGTTCATCAAATACAGATGTTCCAGAAGATCGTTTACTTAAGGAATATCAAAAAAGTCGAGCAGAAATTAGCAAACAATTTGATGAACAAGAAATTCGAAGAAATGAATTACAAAAACAACTTGGTAAAAATTCATAAAAAAAGAAATTTTATTAATAAATAAATAAAAAGATTATTCATTTGATTTAGTAACGAATCCAACAATACGAGAAATTAATGAAGTGACGAAATATGATTCACTTGAAGTATATTCATATCTTAATTTAAATGAGCAAAAAAAAAGAAACGAATTCTATTATTTAGGATATAGCTCGTTCACCTGCATTTATACCAGTCGTAACTATTGAAGATGTACAAGCTATTCGTTCAGTTGATGTTCATCCAAGTGGTAGATTTTTTGCTGTTGGTTCAAATTCGAAAATGCTTCGTGTTTGTGCATATCCAGATATAAAAACTATTCGTACAGATTCAGTACCAAAACCAGCTAAAGTTTTATATAAAAAAGGTAAACATCATTTGGGAAGTATTTATTGTATGGGATGGTCACCAAGTGGAAAACTTATTGCAACTGGATCAAATGATAAACTTATTAAAATTGTTCGACTTAATATGGATAGACCAGAAGATGATTTAAATAGTAAGTAATCATATTTTTTTATAGTTAGAATACGAGACAATATTTAAATTTTTTAGATACAGAAATTGAATTAACACATCATAATGGCACTGTTCGAGATCTTATTTTTATGAACGATAATGCAAAAGATGATTCAGTATTATTAAGTGGTGGTGCGGGTGATTGTAAAGTTTATGTAACGGATGTTAAAAAACAAACACCAATTAAGAGTTTTAGTGGTCATCAAGGTAAGAGTGCTAATAAAATAATCACAGAATAATAACTCTTAACAAAATAGCAAATAAATTATGATTGATGAATCGGAAAGGTTATCGATGCAGATAAAGAATGTAAAAAAAACATGATTTGCTCTATTTATTGTATTTACAAGAACGAAAGAGAATATATGAGTAAAAATGTAACACAGATCCAATCATGAATGATAAAATCAACATTTTTTTTATGAATATGAACATGTCATTCACCAAACAATGTTGACAGATGATTATTCAAACATGCGCTCACCTCTCTCTTAGAGTTATGACACACATATCACTGTAAAAACGTTCATTGATGCATTAAATTTAACATATCGAGTCATATCATTTCAATACATCTCTTATAAATATAGTTACCGTTGATGAATAGAGTTCAATGAGTTTAGATTACAAAATTTGATTCTCCCTAAAAATACCGAAAGTAGAAAAGTTTTGAAAACGTATATTTTTAGGTCATATCTATTCATTGTTTACTTGGGATGCTTATAATTTTGTTTCGGCTAGTCAAGATGGAACATCACGTTTATGGGATATACGTCAACCTGAATGTATCAATGTTATAGCACCTCGTGTTACAAGTATAAAAATTAAAAAACACAAAAAAAATTATTTTCATTTCGAATTATTCAATAGATAGTGCAGTAGCAGCTGTTGCTGTTGATAGTTCAGGTCAATTATTAGCAGCTGGTTATGAAGATGCTTCATGTTTACTTTATGATCTTCGTGGGAAACGTATTGTTCAAACTTATCAACCACATTCAGGTGAAATTCGAAGTGTTCGATTTTCTGTACATTCATATTATTTACTTACGGCTTCCTATGATAAAAAAGTTGTTATGACAAGTTTAAATGGTAATTAAAAAACCTAACTAAAATTTATACAATCATTTTATTATCTAGGTGATTTAACGAAACCACTTATTCTATCTAATGTAGCTGCACATACAGATAAAATAATTCAAGCACGATGGTAAAGTTTTTTTTAATTCGAAAATTTTTATTTATTTTTTATTTAGGCAACCAAATGAAATGTCATTTATTACGACAAGTGCTGATCGTACGTGTATGGTTTGGATGCCACCACCATCAGCTCTATCAAATCTTGGACAATTATCATAAATCAAAACGAAATTCAGTGTTTTTTTGTTGTTTCTTTTTTTTCCTTGATCTCATTTTTTTAGCGTTTTTTTTTCTTCCTTTGTTCTTGTAATTTAATTTCGAGCAAAAACCAAAAATTGATTATTTATATAAACAAAAATTTTGCTTTTTCATAGTATTAGTTTGTAAGAACAAAACAAAAATACAGACAAAAATAATACGTACATGTGCTGATAGATAAATCTATTTGTTTTATTCAATTTATGTGTATATTTTTTGCTTTTTCGTTTTAAATAAGATAAATATAATAATTATTATTATTTGATTAAATTATTTTATAAAAATTAATATATCTATGAATGTTTAATAACGTAGTTCTAGATGCCACCACTTACGTATTATTATGATTTAATGTCACAGCCATGTCGGGCTGTGTACATATTTCTTAAAATGACTGGCATTCCATATCAATCAAAAGAAATCGCTTTAAGAAAAATGGAACATATGAATGATGAATTTAAAAAAATAAATCCATTGAAAAAAGTACCAGTGATTGATGATTCGGGTTTTATTCTTACTGAAAGGTATTTGAAATAAATTAATAATTTATATTTTATTTTATTTTAGTGTGGCTATTTTAACATATCTTTGTGATAAATATAAAAAACCTGACTGGTATCCAGTAGAATTAGAAAAACGAGCACGTGTAGATGAATTTACTCATTGGCAACATCTAAATTTACGTTTTAATGGTACTTCACTTTTTCAAACAAAAGTATTAGTAAAATTATTAATTTTATTTCTCATAAATAGATTTTCTATCTAGGTCATTAAACCTCGTATGACTGGTAAACCACCAAGTGATGTTGAATTAGAAAAATGGCATAAAAACTGGGAAAAATCAACCAATAGCATGGAAAAAATTTGGCTTGCACGATCATCTTATTTAGCTGGAAATCATATAACAATTGCTGATCTACTTGGTAAATTACAATTTTGAAAATCTTTCACATTTCAAATTTATATTTCATAGGTATTTGTGAAATGATGCAACCAATATCTGCTGGTTATAATGTCGATGCAACGAAATTTCCTCGTGTACAAGATTGGATGGAACGAGTAAAAAACGAAACTCAACCTCATTTTGATAAAGCACATACTATTCCAATGCGTTTGAGAGATACAATTTTAAAAGAAAAATCAAAAAAGTTATGATCGATTGATTCCATTTTTTTTTATTATAATTAGACTGGTGCTGGATTTTTATTTTACTCTTTATGATTAATAAACTAAATTTATAATAGTATAGATAATACGATATATCACAATCACATAACGAAAAAAACGTGTTCCTATGATGAATCATTGACTCAAAATAATACTCGTTAACCCCCAAAAATTAACTAATCAGATCACTGTAGTGTATACAAAGAAATCACCATTTCTACTAGTAAATATCAATAAAAATTTTAATAAATAAAAATTAATTAAATTATGCTTTGAACAATTTCAATATTTCAATCTACAATTAAATGTATTTAATGATATGAATTGCTTTTGTATTCATTATTCTCAACGTTTGTCTTTGATGCATCTTCTTTTTTCTCTCTCTCGTTCGCCTTGTTTATATGATAGAATGACGAGTGATGGACATAATTGCAATTTGATTCGTTCGATAGTTATATTTCGTATATGAGACCATTTATACATCCAATGTTAACAAGAAGTATACACACACACACATATATATATATTAATTGTTAGCAAACATATGCTCTGAATGGAAAAAGTTTTTAAAAAAAAATATTTGATGGATGATTATTAATATTAAAAAAGAATGTAGAATTTGCATAATGTGAATAGTCTCAGAGGAAGACACAACACTAAAAGCTTGTTGTCTTCTTTGAGATTTTTCTTTTTGTTGGAACGAATAAGAATTCTCTTCGAATCTAACCAATGAAAAATTGATCCGTTCTGTATATGTGTGTGTTTCTATAAAGAGAAAAGAAAGACAAGTATATACATTAAGGAGAAAGAGGAGAAGAAGAAAAAAAAGAAGAAAATGGTACGAGTAGGATGAGAAACGAGAAAGAACAAATCAAAATATCTATCGAAAAGCGATTCACACATATACACTCAAACAGTCAAAAGAAACGCGACGACAAGTAATACTTGATTAATTGTTCGAACGGAAATCTAATCATATATATATTTTTCTTTCTACTCTCTCATCATACAAGTATTAAAAACTAATAACATATATTACTTAAAAGAAAGTAGAGACAATATTTAAGTTTATATCATATTTAATTTGTGGTAAATTATTATGATTATCTTCATATAATAAAAATCATTATATTTGATTTATTTTCTTTTTTAGTATGTTATTACCACCTTGTTGGACAATATCATCAAATTCAATTGAAAATTCATCATCTATTGATGATATTATGTTATCAACAGCAACAACATCGAATCAACATCAACCAAATTTTTGGTTTTCTGGTAATCCTATTCCATCATTTTTTTCTTCATCATCATCAACAACAGCAGGAGGTGGTGGTGGAGGAGGAGGAATAGATAAAAATCCTTATATACAACAACCAATGACAAATAAAATACTTTTTGATACAAATCCATGTAGTTCAAGTTCGGAAAGTTCACCACCACTATCTAATGATTATCTTTTATCACGTTCAAATCCATCAACAACATTAAATTTAACACAATTTAATTATATACAACAAAATCATCATCATCATCCATCATCAAATGGTTTTCTTCAACGAGATGATTGGTCACAAATACCAATAGCACAAACAACAATTTCTCCTACTTCTGCTGCTGCATGGGCAAAAGGTAAAAAAAAATGTTATGTTTTTTTCTTTTGCTTCTCATTACATCAGACCTATTTATGCCATCCTATTGTATAGAGAGAGAGAGAGGGAAGAGGGAGGAGGAGAGAAGGAGGGTTGCTCAATACCACATATATATATACATACAATCATCCGTCTATTCATATTCTATGTCTTAATGGTTATTCGATGATTGGAAGGATGATTTATAATATTTGTCGCCGGCACATTACATCTGCTTGAGCTCGTTTTTTATGCAATACAAAAAAATCATGACAATATATTTCCGTTTCTTCATCAAGTGACACTTTTAGCTTCATCTATCAACCTACACTTTCAATGAATATGATCATCCGAAACATAGAGAGACAATTTGTCATCGAACTAAAAATGAGTCTGTCGTTTTTTTCTTATATGATTATTTTCAATAGAAAATTTGTGGCACTACTAGGAGTAAGAAAAAAAAGAAGAATGATCGTTAGTTTCAAGGCGTGACGAATATACATATCTTTATCGTTGCTCAATTGATTTGTTGACACCTTTATATATCTATCCCTATTAAACACCTTTAGAAATATATATATACGAAACATGCATGCAAGTATCTTTTTAATGAGATCAACACATATTTAATGAGCAACAAATGACACTTTTTTCTTACGAATAAATAACACATAATATTCGTGATAGAGGAGAAAAAAACAAAAATAACATTAATTGATTGAAAGAGTCCAGAAGGTGAAAGCAATGAGCCGAAACATCTTGAGAGAAAAAAAATAAGAAACGGATGCATATTATATTGTGTCATATGCCGCTTCCGATCTTGAAAGAAAATCTATCTTTCAATATTTTATCAATAGACCATAGATAAAAATTATAATTCCTTATATATTGACGACATAATTTGATATATTAAAAACACGCTTGATTGCATGTCTATATTGTTGGATAGCAAAAATTAATATTATCGAAGGTAAATGATCATTACGTAGTGACACATACACCATTATAATAAAGGAGAAATGTATATGACATCATTTTAATGGTAAGGTATATGCACACTAAATGAATAAAAACGAATGACCTATGATCAAGAACTTTTTCACTGTCATTATTTAATTGATAATCATATATATATATATATGTATATATGATGATCGATTGACAAGTGATTTTGCCGGTATACCGTGAAATTGTCATCAAACACATTCAAAAGTGCATTCACTCGAAAATAAGATCGATGTTTATATATATATATGACAGACAATGGCATCATCAATGTATGAGAACGCATGCGCACGTCATTCTTTTGAATAATTTATTTTGATTTTTATATATATATATAGACTTTTTTTTGTTGTCTATCCTATTCTGAAGTATGTTTATATATATATATATATATATCTATATATGCGAAAGGGTTATTAATAAAGCGTTAACTCTGATTGCTTTTTCTTATAAACAAATAATTCTTTAGGTGTTCCGATTGATAATTCTCAAGCAACACATTATTCCGGTATAGTTAATGGTAATGAATCAATAAAAGATATGAAACGTAAAAGTAGTCGACCGACATTTACTGGACATCAAATATTTGCATTAGAAAAAATGTTTGAAAATACAAAGTATTTAGCTGGAACGGAACGTTCACGTCTTGCTTCTCAATTGGCAATGAGTGAAGCACAAGTTAAAGTAAGAAATCAATTTGTTTCCTTTATATACATTTTAAATTCATTACTTTTTTTAGGTCTGGTTTCAAAACAGGTAAAAGAATTTTTTTTTTGTATTTATTAAATATTTTGTTTATTTTTCAGACGTACAAAATGGCGAAAAAAACATGCAGCTGAAATTCATGGTAGCAATGGTAGTAAACGAGCGAAAAAACGCAATGATGATTCAGTTCCTACTGTCGAATCGGATTCAAATTCGTCTTAATTTTTTCTCTTGATTTATTTTAGTGTTTCAATGAATTGTGAAAAAAATACTATTCTGTACATTTCATTTTTCTTCTACTTTTTTTCATTCATTAAATTGAAATTTTTCTGTTTTTTGTTCTTTTTTTCTTTGTACATGTGTGTTTAATATCATCACATATATTATTGTTTAAACTTAAAAGTATTAAAAGAAATATATATTGAAAAAGATGAATAATGACACATTTCAATTGGATAGAAGAAAAAATAAATTTTAGTTGGACGATCAAGTGTTTTTTCCTTGAAATTGAGTATAGTATAAAAGAAGACATTTTTCATTTATAGAATAATTGATTTACTTCTTTCAATCGATGAAAATTAGATTTAAAATACAAGTAGTTACGTCACTTGTCAGCTGAGCAGTTCAATGCTCATGAAAGGTTTTATAATCTATCGATTAAAGAATTATGTGAATTCAAATTCTCATCATATGAAAATAGCCAATGACTGACTTTAACGTGCATAATTGATTTTATATAAAAAAAAATAACGATCAAGAATGTTATGTTAATATTATTATTTTCTTACGATTCCTACGCTGCCATACCATACATACATATAAGCATTGAAGCCTATAATCGATTATAACATATATGTGGTAATACATTGAAGTTCAAGTTTTTTATTTCTCATCAATATAAAAAGAGAATGCTTATATTACCACATAGACATTTGTATAGTAGTTAATTAGACATAAAATGTTTTTGTAAGCATTAGAAGACTATCTATTGTAGATAGTTTCGTATATTCCGTTCGAAGATAAACAATTAATTAGTATTAAATTATATCCCTACGATTATGTTTTAGTATTTGTTTTGAATTGATGATGACTGTATTGATCGAATCCGATTTTTGTCATCCCTTGGTGTTCTACCTATTTTCGAGGAGGTGGCGGTCGTCGGTTCGCCCTGTTGTCACTCTGGAAAAAACTAAATTTTTTGATAAAAACAGGAATATGAAACATAATCGATTTTGCTTTCCAATGATTACTACCCATACTGCACGCAGCAGATTAGATTTATCAGTCACCAGTTTCAAAGCTAGGTGCATTTATCATCAATAAACTTGCTAAACTAAGTTTAACTTGATTCAGATAATTAGTATGTAATAAAATCTGCGAGTATAAGTGATATCATTATGTGAAATAAATCTAATAATTAAATTCCTAGTTTATTTCTTTGAAAAACAAAACTTTCTTTTTAATCTAACTGTGTACTTAAATATAAAATACATGAATAATACAATTCAATATTAGTCAGTTTTTACTGATGATTGAAATCGTATTTGAGCTTGTTTCATTCGTTCAATCTTTTGCTCTTTAGATAAAACAGGCATTGCTCGACTATTACGAATAATTGTTATAATACTTAATAATATTTCAATTGTAATTAATGCTAAACTAATTGCTGAAAGTATAATTTCTACACGTTGAATATAAGATTGCCAAACAATAAAGAAGACAAAACCAATTATACAAAAAATTCCATATACAATAGAAATAATTAAAAGGCCAGTTTGTAACATTAAGTTTCCTTTAATATTAAAAAATTGTCGAATAAATTCATTGAAACATAGCATAAATATTATTGCCATTTCTATACCAAATGCACTTGAAGCATATGTTATATGATAATATTTAAATATAAATAAAAGGATTTCAAGAATAAACCAAAAGATTGTATAATTAAGGTTTATACGTAAAAGTATATGAAGTGCAGTACTTGATTGATCAGATACAGTGAGAAACATTTTCTTTTTTAAATAATAATAATAATCTGAAAAATGTAGATAAAATCGTTTAATATAAATTTACATAAATCAGTTTTGACATTATCGATCGAGTTGCCATAGTAACCGCCTCTTTACAATATTTATATCAGCACGCCATCTGTTATTCCCCTAAGAGTTTTAATTCGCTCAGTCACCTGATGGACATAAAATGAGGAACACTAGTAATCGACATTTTAATCGAGGGTGTGTGTAGACTTATGGATGGAAATTTGTACTACGTTTTATATTATTTGTATATCTAAGTACATGATACATTAGAATATTTCAAGGTATACAAATTAAGATTTAAAATGTAAATGTTAAATTAGTCTTTTGAATTATTTATGTTGTTTTTTTCTGTCAAAAAAAAATTCTCATTCTTCGATTACAAATACTTAAGATTTACTTTATATTTTATGTTTTTATTTACACAACAATTTAATATTGCACAAATGTGATTTTTTTTCTTCGTTCAATATTTATAATGAACACTGTAAGTAAATATATCTATACATAATTCCTATTCAATAATTTTTCAATGCTCATTAATTTAAAGTAGAAATAAAAATCCTTTTTTTGCTTTTTCTTTTTACATTGTGTGTGGGTAGAATAGGTTGAATGATTTATGTCATATGATTGCAAAGCAACAAAAATTGTTTTTTTATAAATTACTAATGATTTTGCTTTCTATGCATGTGATCAGCTACTTATTTTTACTTATGCTTATAAATGATTGTATTTTGCTCACATCATATTCCAGATACGAAATAATAAACAAAAAAAGCTATCTAAATGTTGACAATCAATAGGTTTTGTTTGCTTCTATCTCAACGTGGCTATGCAACTGGTGCATCAACATTTCGTGCTGCTGACATCATTATAAAAAAAACGGAAAGTGGCAGTTCCAAACCAGATCCAGATAAACTTGTTTTTGGTGCAAGTTTTGCAGATCATATGTTAACAATAAAACATACAACTGCAAATGGTTGGGAAAAGCCAGTTATTGAACCATTAAGAGATCTTGCAATACATCCTGCTGCAAAAGTTTTACACTATGCAGCTGAAGTATATAATTTTTTTTTGTTAATTTTATTTATTAAATATCTTGTTTTTGTATAGCTTTTTGAAGGCATGAAAGCATATCGTGGTTATGATGGAAAAATTCGTCTATTTCGTCCTGATTTAAATATGAAACGAATGCTTAACACAGCTGAACGAAGTGTTTTACCTGTAAGAACTAATATACATTGGATTAATAGTATATATATGTATCTGTAGACATTTGATGGAAATGAATTATTAGAATGTATTAAGAAATTAGTTCAAGTTGATGCCGACTGGGTACCAAGATCAAAATCAAGTACACTTTACATCCGACCAACTTTAATTGGCACTGAAGTATATTGAAATACTTTTTTTTGAATTTTAATGTAAACATTATTTTTATTTGCAGCCACAATTAGGTGTTGCTGCATCAAGCGAATCATTATTATTTGTTATAACTGGACCTGTCGGTCCATATTATCCAACTGGTTTCAAACCCGTTTCTTTATTGGCTGATACAGTTCATTGTCGAGCATTTCCAGGTGGTATGGGAGCATATAAAGCTGGCTCGTAAGTGATTATATTTATTTATTTTTGTTGTTGATATTGATAATAATTTATAGAAACTATGGACCAACTATTTATGTTAATAAAATGGCTCAAGCACAAGGATGTCAACAAGTTTTATGGCTTTATGGTGAAAAAAGATATGTGACAGAAGTTGGTACAATGAATGTATTTATGTGTTTAAAAAATAAGAAAGGTGGTGTTGAAATAGTTACACCACCCTTAGATGGACTTATTCTACCTGGTGTTACTCGTCAAAGTATTCTTGATCTTGGTCGTACATGGGTACAAATAAATAAAGTTATTTTTTCAATAAATCTTGTGTTCTCTTCTAGAAAGATATTACCGTCTCCGAACGATCGATAACCATGGATGAATTGCTGGAAGCACAACAAAATAATAGCGTATGATTTCATAATATAAAAGACTTCTTTTTTAAAATGTGTCTATATTAGCTTTTGGAAATGTTTGGTTCGGGTACAGCAGCTATTGTTTGTCCAATAGAAAGAATTGTTTACGAAGGAAAATCATACGATTTAGCCACTATGAACAAAGGTTTATCTCATTTTTTTCAAATCTCATCATAATATTTTTATCTAAATAATTAATCTAGGAGCTCCATTAACAAATCGATTCCATGATGAAATTGTTGATATTCAAGTAAGCATTTTTTTTTGTTTTTTTTAATTATAAATATTGATTTAATTTTTTTAATTTAGTTTGGTCGAAAACCAAGTAAATGGACCGTCGATGTCATATAAAGTCATTCAAATGCATTTCAGAATAAAACTTTTTAATCTCGGTGTGTAATGGTGATAGAATCTCAACTATTGTCCTGGTAATGATGTTCTTCGTTTCTAATGATAGAAATGAAAAATAAAAGCATTTATTTTTGTTTTTGTAAAAGTTTTTGCTGAAATAAAAACCGAAAAGATAACCCAATAGAATTTAATTTCTTATTTTAAATCTCTAATCTCAATGATATATGATTCAAATAATATTGATTTTATTCAATCATAAACTAAAGAAATGTGTAACAATTATCATAATGAAAAATAGCAATTAAGTGTATAGTAACAATTAAATTACATAAAAGTTTATTCGATTGAGTCAGTTTCCTTATCACCATCTTTTTTTTGGTGATTTTATTTTTTCTGCTGATTAACGTATTTCATTCTCAATTTAATGACGATCTTCTATACATTCAAATTGATACATTAGTATTTATTTATTTTTAATTGTAATAATAATACAACATTTATGAGTCATGTAATATATATTTTTTTCTTATCGTCGTCGTCGAGCAATAATTACTGCTCCATTGATAGATGTATTGCCAGCAGTTTGTATTTGGTCTTGACATGAAAATATAAGTTTGATTTTCTTGGATAAACCCGGTGTTGAACTTGTACATACAAATGGTATAAAGAAAATGAAAAGATAACCAGCAAAATAAAAATATAACTGCAGTTGAGCGCCATATTCATCTGGTAAACCACATAAATGAGCAAGTGTAAGAAGATTAAGTGGTAAAATAAAAATAATATTTAAAATCGACATTGATACCAATTGTATCGTCATTCTTCGATGTTTACTCCATTGAACTTGTTGATTGAGACGTTGTTTTTGTCGTATAACACGAATTAAAAGAGCCATACTAACCGACGCAACTAAAAAAGCTGGTAAAATATTATGTCCAAAAAAATCCCATGTACCCAATATTAAATCATCTTGATAACATGGATATGCATTGCATACTGGTAAATCATATTCATAAGTATTTTCACAAGGAAATATAAGAAGAACATAACTATAAAAAGTTGAAATATATAGAAGAAGAAGAATTAATGGTAAATAATGAGAAAAAAATCTTCCTCGTTTTGTTATTGCCCATTGACTCTTAAATATTAAAATATGTCGTTCTATAGCTGTCCACGCTAATAAAATTTGTTGTCCATTGTAAAATGCAAAAGCAGCAAACCACCAAGCAATACATGTACTTGGTGCGGCAGGTGTAACATTACCTGAATTAATTATAAATGTAAGATAAAGTGGAACATCCATTAATTGAGTTGGTAAACCAAAAATAATTAAAACTACAATTGCATGATTATTTAATGCAGGTCGAGCTGTTCGATTAACAAGAAGATGAGTAAGAAGAATAAAACTACAGATAGCTGATGGAAAATCAAATAGGATAAGTATCCAAAAACGAATTGGACGAGATAAAGAAATTTCATCATCTTGAAAAGTATCTCCACTATCACTATCATTTGTTGCCATCACGTAAAAATTATAAATTGTCAAAGAATACAACAATCTGCTAAGATATTTATACTATTGTAAATGCGCATTTAACCATTACGATTTAATATCAACAAAATTAATTTCCGCTTTTCTTCTTGTGACAACTTATAGAGAGAAAAACCTGATATTTTTTTTAATTCTGACTATACTTAAAACTATACTAATTAACAGTTTGATCTGTATGAGAACTTTGCGACCCTTTCAAGCCGATATGATCTACTAGTGGGTCAAACTATAGAGAAGAATACTTTTTTTTCATAGTATGGAGCTATCGGTAATAAACTATCGATAGTAATGAATAGGATTGATTCTATAATCTCTTGCAGTAACTTCTTCCTCGAAACTTGTCATCTGCGTTGTTTTTTTCACACGGCATGTAAAACAAATCGAAACTTCAGTTCTATTTTCATACAATTGAATGGAAAGAACCAAAGATAACATCTATTTTTATATCCACCAATTTAATTAATCTATGTTTTAAATAAAATATATTTAGAATGAAGCAAAAGCATTAATTTCAAGGGTGAAGAGGATTGGCGATGAAGCGTCAATTTTACAGGTTAAAGTACCATTTAGAAAAAGGAACTCTTTTTTTACAAAATTGTCAAAATGGATTCATCTCAAACAGACCATAGGTGATATTTTTGAAACTTATTCAAGCGGATAAAAAAGAACATATTAAGATTTGAAATGACATATGGAAAAAAATATATCTTTGGACCAGAAGTTTATGTTTATCAAGTGCGATATATGTCAAAAATAGCATTGTTGTATCTACTTTGTTATAGATGATGTGTTGCAGGAAAGTAAATCTCTAACTCAGTCGAATGATGACATCTATATATGAGAAGATGTTATGGGTTCAACTATGGAACCAAACATATTCTTTTGAGCTGCCAGCGACAGACAGATGAACCATGACAGCTTGGTACTTTTTTAAAGTTATAATTTAAATAAATTTTAACAAAAACAAAATTACAAATTATAATCGAACTGTATTCTTCTTCTTCTTCATTCGTTGAAGTTAAATATATGAACGTTTATTGTTGAGATATATGTAAAAACAATAAAAATAAAAATTTCTTGTATTCCTTTTTAGATCATTATGCACTCATTATTTTTTTTCATATGCCTCCTTTTGACAATTTCATTTATTGCTTGCTCACAACCAAAACGTATTATTGATCAAATGTACATTTCGTTTGATCGTGCTCGTTATTGTGTTCGTCGTCTCAATGGTACACATGAAGTGGGTTGTCAATCAGCTATGAGAGGTAATTCAGGTCGAATGTATATGATTGATAATGAACAAGAATTCACTTCATTTCTTACAAATACTGCAACTATTGATCTATCGAATTCATTTATTATTGTACTTAATGTGAATTTATTTGATTCAAATCATGTTGATCAATTAATGAATCGTCTTGATAAAAAATTAAATGGTCTTTTATTATATTTAAAATCAAATTTATCTCGACCTGAATATTTTTCACATGATGATCAATGTCCAAATCATCGTTATTCTTATTATTTAAATCAAACAGAAAGTGTAAAATGGAATTGGAAAGGAACTGGCTTATTTTTTCGTTCATTTCCATTTCCAATTATGTTGGTTGATGAAGAAAATGATTATAAACAATTATTACATTTCTATCAACAATTTAATAGTAGTCAATCAACACCTGCATGTGGTTTAGAAATGAAAACATTTCAAAATGCTGCACATACATCTAAAACATGTATGAGAAGAAATGATATATCACATTCATTAATTGATCTCCCCGAAATATTCTGTGATCCTATAGGTGGTCAAAATATTTATAGTAAATTACCTCAAACAATTACAACTATATATCAACAACGTTCACCAAAATCAGTCGTATTAATTTTAGTAAATACAGATAGTTTTCAAATGTTTCTTAAACCAAAAGGAGCAACAGGTGGTGCTCAACAACCAGCTGCAGCACTTATCGCATTTCTTACACTTGCACATTTAATTGGACAAGAACAAAATGAATTGAAAAAACAAGATAAAGAAATTATATTTCTAACATTAGATGGTGATGCAATGGATTATTCAGCTTCATTTAAATTTATGTTTGATATGATCAATGGATATTTTCCAAATGGTGATAAAAATGAACAACGTATTAAACCTGAACATATTCATTCAATTATTGAATTACAAGGATTAAGTATGACAGATAAACTTTGGGTATGTATTCAAATCATCTTTCATTTCTTTATCAGAATTTCTTTTAGCTTCATTCATATCCATCATCATTGATAAATCAAACATTTATCAATACAATTCTTCGTAATAACCCAATGATAACTTCAATTTCATCAAATTCTCCTCTACCACCTGCATCATCACAAATATTTCTTCGTGAAACATCATCAATGTCATTTCCTGCATATATATTATCGTCTGCAAATGATAATCAATTATCTAATCATTATTATCATTCATTTTTTGATGATCCATCAACCTTATCAATTAATATATCAACATTAGAATATAATACAGATACTGAATTTAGTCAATGGATTAAACGTATTGTTGAACCATTAGCTCAAACATTAATTGAATCATTTGTTGGTATAAGAAAAAATCTTATTATTAAACAAGAAATTATTAATAATTTAGTTTATTGTATTTTAAAAAATATTAATTGTCCTTTAATTCATAATGTAACAAATCAATCTGTTGGTAATACATTTAAACAATTTGATCAAACATCTATGCCATTTTCAATTAATACTTATCCAGAATCAACTACACCAACATTTCCTTTTGTACAATATGTTTTAAGTTATTTTTTACGTGATCGTGCATATGATTTACAAAATATAACTAGCGTAACATGTAAAGAATATGCTGCTAATGATACGCTTTATTCATATAAATATGTTGGTGGATATTTACCATCGATAAATAATGAAGAAAAATTTTCTAGTTATTGTGTTCGATCATATATACGATTGATACAATCAATGTCACCAGCATTTACTATTAAAAATTATGATTTATCTGATGCAAAATATCCAGCATGGACTGAAAGTCGTTGGACAGTAATTAGTTTAAGACTTTTTCTTATTCCAACAAGACAACATGAAGTTATGACAGTTGTTATTGGTATTTCACTTTTGTCTATTTCATTTATGGTTCTTTTGTTATTACGTCAATATACAAAAATTAATCTCTTACAACCTTCATCATCATAAATAATAATAATAATTCGATATAGATCTTATTTTGTTGTATTGTTTGTCTAAAATTGTTTGTTTTTTTCTTTGTTCTGAATGATCAGATCTTATTATTCTATACTTGTTGTCTGTTATTACGAATAAAATTCGAAAAATAATCTCAAACGATTTACTATATTATATGCTTTTATAATATTCTAATGATGATTTATTCATTTTTGTTTGATAAATGTCCTTATTTTATGGATATATACATATAAAACATATAGTTATGAGCCTCCATTCTAATTATGATTCTTATCTGCTCTTTATTTTATGAACATACAGTGTTCAATAATAACATCAAGTTCAATATAGTATAATGGTGTAGTAGTTGATGAATAATGAATATAATTCAATGACAATGACACTCAAGGATATATGACAATTTTGTGGGATTAGATAGAAGCTTTCATTCTCACATACTATTTGATAGATAGTTCTTTTTGTTGATATGTGTATACATAGTATGGTATCAATTATTTTTATCTTTTTTATATTTATTTCTATTGATTTTTAGTTAAACCAACACAGAGAATAGGAAATAATATTCAACATCAAAAAGAAAGATAAACATAATCAATTGTTATGCGATCATATCGTTTTATAATCTGATCAAAATATTTGAACTTTATATATTTGATAATAATCTTTAAATAACATTCAACAAATATAAATATGAGTAAAAATCAAGTATTTGAATGACTGCTTGCATTGATAGACTATTATTCTCATATATTAGTTCATATTGCGTGTATATATGTGCATTCATTATACGTATACTTTGTTTTTTATGTAATCTATGCTTGGTATTGAATAAGATATTGAACGGATAAAAAGAGCATTCGATTGTCACAGATGAACGAACATTACATTTATATAGATGAAATAAATCATGTTTCGTTTTTTTTCTTCTCTTCTGTCGAACATGCTCATTTACGATATATAGTTCAGTTCATATTTGATCTACCAAATAAAACAGTACAAAAATGACAACCAACTATGACTATAGTAAAAAAATTTATTATATATATATTTGATCTTTTGATAAATTCTTTTTGATTAATTAGATTGGAATCAACAAGAAAATGCTCATTATTCAAATGGAGATACATCTTTACATTCTGTTCATGGACAAATTCATGCTGGACCACATTCCGTACCAGCACATACAGATAATGGATTAGATCCTAATCTATTAAATAATGATACTAATGATTCAGGTGCATTTGTTACAGCTGGAACAGCTGGTCAAGTAGGTTTTGATGTTCGTACGTTAGGTTTAAGTGAACAAGAATTAAAAGAAACTGGTTTACATCCATCATTAATATCAGCTGGTCGTCAACTTCCATTAGATCAATATAAAATTAATTATGATCCTAATCCAATTATTATTCGAAAACAAATTCCTGTTGAAATGCCTACTTATAAACAACAGGTCATTGTTCGATATCGTAAGAAGCACAAAAAAATATATATATATTTGAATATTATTTTCATAATTTTTTTTCTCTCATTTAGTTCGACCTCCAACACCACCATCACCAGGTCCATTGATTATAAAAGAAGTTCGAGAACCTCCAGCAGCTGCAGCACCACCACTTGTTATACGTACACGAGCACCTCGAGAAAAAACACCACCACCTATTGTTATTCGTGAAGCACCACCATGTGCACCTCACGTCGATCTCAATCCAAAATATGTCACACGTGTTGTTCGTCATAATGAATCAAATTATTCATCTTCTCCTCAACAACAACAAAGGCAATTTCAACAACAACAACAATATCATCAACTACAACAACAACACCAACCACAACATCATCCACAACAACAACAACAACAACAACAGCAACAATTTCAACATTTTAATACATTTGAAAATGGAACAGTTAATTATGATCAATTTAATGGTATTCAAAATGGAAATCAATTTACAAATGAAATCAATTCTTTTGGAGATCAACAACATGGAGGATGGGTTACAGAAGTTGTATCAAGTACTGGAACAACATCAGCTGCTCCACCTCATCTTTTAGGTATCTATATAAAATACAATATGCGATTTTTAATTACATTTTCTTTCTATTTTAGATGATATCTATCGAGCAATTAATAATCAATTACCACGTGTATAATCGTTCAAATTTTATGCTTTTGTTTAACGTCGGTTTTCTTTTCGTTTGCATAAAATTCGATTAGACAATATAATGTAGTATTCAAACAAGCAAATAATAAAAAATAATATTTAAGCCATATGATACAAATTTTTTTTTTCATGATAAATTAACCGATAGAAAGTTTTACAAAAAAAGATATCTTCTAACATCTGCTTAATATATATTGTTGTCCTTATTTCACAGTATCCTTTTTAATAAATAAAGTGCGTAATGTTTCATTACATAGTTCTATTTTGATCAAGAGAAGAAGAAGAGAGAGAAAAAAAAAGAAATATCACGCACATACAAAACATACACTGTTCACAAACTCGAGATTTATTTCACAAACAGCACGATATGTTTTCTTTCCATGAATTTATATATATATTTATTTTTCTTTTTTTTTAATAATCTATGTCTAGTCAATAGAACAAGATGTTAAATAGTTTCTACTTTCAGACTTATTGACTCATTCTCTTTTAATAATAATAATAATATCATGTTAGAGTAGAAATAAAGTGATACATAAAATATATTTATAGAAAAAAAAGAGAGAAGAAGTAGAAGACACGATCAATGGAAACTGATTTATTATTACAAAATATGGAGGGAAATTTTCAATCACTTCGAAGTATGTGGAATACGAAAGTACAAGAAGAACAGAAATTATTAAAACCAAAATCGATTATATATCGATCACAATCCGAATTAGTACAGAAAGCATCATCAACAAAAAATGAAAGACGATCTATAATGATTGCAGATGAAACAGTTTCACACAAAAAAGAATTGACAGTAACATTTGATGATCAAAGTAAGACTGAGTGAAAAACTAGATTGATTGATTGTTTATTCTTCTTTTATTTAGAGATATCTGATTTGAAATCAATTGAAACATTATCATCGGTGGATGAGAGCGAGGATACTATTCCACTTCTTCCTCCACCACCACCATCAATTGTTTTTAAAGGACAAGCTCAGTCAATTTCTATAATGAAACAAAGTGTTTCGAAAATGTTTAATTTTGATAAAAAGAAAACTCACTTTAATAATGTTAAAACGAATGGTATTCGTCATTGGCATATAGCTCGTCATGTTTTTCGTAGTGGTCTTATATTTAGCCCAACAAGACGTGCATCTGATAGTATTCTACCATTATTAATAAGAACTCATATTGCTCAATATCAATCGCGAACAGCTAGTCTCGATAGTATTTTTACTCCAACACCATTGGAAAGTCTTATCGATTATCTTACATATGATAATGATAATAAACAAATGAATATACCAGAAAAAAAAGTACCTGTAAAACGAATGATATCAGATACAGGTGCTTGTATTGAACGAAATAAATTAAATGATACAATTGCTCAATATGAAGTATTGATGCGTCATTTAAAAAATTATGATAAATTTATGGCAACATATCCTGTACCACCATCTTCATCATCTCCAAAACGAAAATCAATTGATACTGAAGATATAAGAAATAAAAATGGTGGTGATGATGATGATAATATTCAACAAATTTCAACTGCTACATCATCAATTCGAAGTCGACAAACACAATCATTAGCAAGAAATGTTGGACGAACATTTACAGATTTTATTATGAATGATCTTTTATTATTACCCGTATCTAAAACATCATCGGATGAACCACGACGTTTAAGTACTATTCATGCTGCGTCACAAACAGATTTAATTGAATTAATACCTAAAGAAGAAGAAGAAGAAGAAATAAAACAAGTGGTAGATGAATTTAATACTATTATTAAAAATATTGAAGATGAAGATAAAGAAGAAGAAAAAGGAAAAGAAGCAGAGGTGGAGGAAGAAGAAGAAAAGCCAGAGGAAGTTCCATTAACAGCTAACAGTGAAATTAATGTTATTATTGTTAATTCTTCTGAAATGCAAGTAGCCGAACAAGAAGTAGCAGTAAAAGTAATAAAAATTATTTTCTTGTCTTTTTGGTAATTAATAATCATATTCTTAGATACAACAAAATGGAGAAAAATCACTTATTCAACGTTTATTTGAAGGAAAAAAAACTGCATATACACCAGATGATATTCAAATGGAAACTACTCGAATACGTTCGTTATTAAATTTTTAAATAAAAATCAAGTTTTTTTTTCTTTCTAGCGGAAGAATTAATGAATACATTTGAAATTGCAAAGAGAAAATGTTTTTTCAATACAGAACGAGTTCTAGTGAGTACAAAGAAAAAATGAAATAAAAAATTCCTGTCATAAATCTGTATAGTATGCAACAAAAATGATTAAAATTGATCGTCGTGGTTATAAACAACATGTTCGAATTTTCTGTATAACAACTGAACGACTTTATATAATAACTAAAAAAGATCCGTATCCAAAAGAAGCTGTTTTATTTAAAGATGTACTTGGTATTAGTTGTACACCACGAAATGATGGTTTTATATGTTTACATACAAGAGAAACACGTGAAGATCGAGTAAAATAAAATCATATGACAAATATTTATATTTTAATTTTATTTTTCAAGGGTGATTGGATTTTTCTTGTTGATCATCCATGTGAATGTATTACTCAAATTTTTATGGCTCTAGGAAGAAATGATAATAATGATCATTATCTCAAAATTAAAACTGAGTATGAATATAGAAAAATAGTTGATTAAATTCTATATTTTTTTATCTTATTCTTTTTTAAGATTCAAACACACACGTCGAAGTCTTGGTTAATAGAAAAAAGTTGAAATATTTTTCTTTTTATTACTTTTTTCTTTAAATTTAGCTACTGTACCGGATGATTGTTCAATTGCATCTCGATCAGCAGAAACATTTCATATTGAATTTGAAAATTATGAAGTTCTAGCTATTGTAAGATAATAATATATTTTTTTTCTCTTTCAAATATAATTTTTATATTTCAGTACTCACCGTGATCGATTTTTTTTATGGATTCTATTTCCATATTTTTGTTGTGATTACTGTTGTATTGATAAGTTTGCGAAAAATTGCTTTGTGATACAATAAAATATCAGTGAAAACTTCGATTTTTTTAGCGTATTTTTTCTTCTGATATATATTATCGATAAAATTTTGAGAGTGGGTGTGGACATAAATTAAGGTTCAGAGAACTTGCACCCACACCCAAATCTTTCTTTTCTTAACAATTATTTTTAAAGGTATAAAATTATAAATGTATGCATTGATGCACTTGAAACATCATCAAAATGAGAATGGTATATTTACGTTGAGTAAAACTACGAAAAAACTCACATTAAGTCAGATGGTGCAACTTTCTATCAGAAGACAAAATAATCATGTGTCATCATCATTAATTTTGATACACTCTAACGAATAGCAAACGTGAGAAATTACCTTATGTTCTCTTTCGTTCCGCTTTGTTAGAAAATCATACTTGGTATTGCTTGTCGTAAAAGTATTAATGAAAGCAAAAAAAGAGGAAGTGATGTAAGTCATCAAATTGATCAAAGGGATAAAGCCCATTCAAAGTTATGATTTTGATTTTGTGTAGGCTACCTATGCTAATTAAAAAGGAAGTAGCTCAGTATAAATACTGTAGCAATAAGTAGCAGAAATGTACAGAAACAATAATGTTTACAATCATTATTTTTATTTGTATTTCATTCCTATTGATTCCTACAACAACAACGACAAATGTTGGTGGTGTCATTCTTCAGAATACGGTGTAGACAAAAGTAAATAATCCATATCATGTAGTCGCTGATGTTCAAGTGCCGTTCAATGTAACACTGACTATTACAGCCGGTGTACAAATCATTTATGACAATCTCGGTGATTATGAAATGCTTGTTAAAGGCTTTCTAAAGGTACAAGGAACAAATGCAGAACGTGTTGTGTTTAATGGATCGGCTGCAACAAATAACAACAGATGGATGTTGACATTCAAAGCAGCAAATTTAACCCAATCCTCAATTGTTAATGCTCAATTTATTGGACCTAAACAATCAGTAGGTTTACTTGAAGTACCCAATGGTATTCCTTTGAATACAGGTGAATTAATAGTTGATCGTTGCATATTCACTGGCACTCAAATTAATACATATTCCAGTAAGTATACAAAAATCTGATAATGTCAAAGAAAGAATTGTTTATTTTCATTTAGCTTTATTTGATCCATCGGGAACTAATCCGATTTCTTCGTTAGTTGTTCAAAATTCAACTATAACTGATTCAATTGTATCGAATGGTGGTTTTAACAGTGATCCTCAATTGATTAAACTTTTAGGTAATCAACTTCAAAATGTGACTATCAATGCGACTGCTCATTACAATGGCATGAGAATGTCTAATTGTCAAGGTGGTAATGTTTCTATTTACTGGCGTGGTTATACCAAAGCCTACTTCGAAATTAATGATACAAAATTAACAAATCTATCTGTTAATTTTAGTCCATTTTATGGAATAGAGACTTTTTTCACCATACGACGATCAACTCTTCTTAATGCAACTATTCAGTTGATTGGACCAAGTTATGATAGCACAGTGAATCATCTTGACATCATTTGTAGTAAACTTACAGTTCCTGGACAAATCGAAATGGCAACAGGATCAATTCAAAATTCGACAATTACGAGTTCTGGAAATCAAACAAATACAACCGGTGTCTTTGCGGGAGCAATATCCATTGTTAACTCATCGATCTTTGCTTTTGATGTTGGTGTCAGCATTTTTGCATACAAAGATCCAATGGGTATTATAAATAACAGCAATTTTTACAAAAATTCCGTTTACAACATCATGAATTTGGGAAATTCTGATGTGAATGCAACTGGTAACTGGTGGGGTACGAAAAATGACATCAGCGATACATTGTATGATTATTGGAAAAATATCAACTATGGAGAAATTTTTTATAATAATTTTGCACAAAGCCGTATTGAACAACAATGTTAAACATTTATCGTTTTATTCTCTAATTAATGACACTTTTTAAATGTATTCTATATTTTAATCATGAAATAAATTCTTTCATATTTTTCTGAACAAAAAATCTCATTTTCCATTCGCATGACACTGAATTAAGCAGTACAAATATAGAGAATAAATGAAATAACATAATGGATTCGAGTTAGTTAAGAGAATGTTTTAGTTGACATAAATAAAATCATTCAACTATATAGTGAGCGAAAATAGGATAAAAAAAATAATATGTCAGTGATGACAAGCACGTTTTTGAATAATATTAGTCATATTAATCAAACTTACTTTTCTTTCGAGTTAGTTTTGTTTCAGAAGAATAAAAAACAGGTTTTGAGGTAACAAATCACCAGAAAAGTACTCTTCCATAAACTTAATCCAACGAATCAAATAGGAGACATGCTAATTATGATCGTTGGTTCACCGAAGAAGACTGTTTTAGATTGAGTCATTCATTGTTGGGCGTTAATTGTGAAGTATTTTACATCAAAAGTTCAATTACGAACAGACATTCTTTTTTTTAATTACTATAGTGCACAATCGATGAGTATTGATCATTCTATCGTATGACAACAATTGTGTCAGTTAGTTGTCAATGATTCAAATAGAATTCACCATCCAAATGTTCAATTGAACAAGATACTCGTTATGTATATCATATTTGTATACGAATTTATTTATATATGAAATCACATTTTTTCATCTCATTTGCGCAGTCTCTAGTTCTTGAAACAAAGACATGATCAGTTATCGTTGATAGAAATACTCACATTTTTCATGACTCATTCCAAAACCATAAAAGCTGAATATTACATTATACATTATGTTTTTCTTTTAATCTTTCTTGTCTATCATTTCATTATCGATCTATTCTCTCGGTGTACTTGTGAAATAGTTTACTTATCTATACATGTCCTACTTTCGTATTGAAATTTTTGATTGACAGCAAAGGCAAATAATAATACTACAGAGAGAATGTATTATCCATCTACCACTATGTTCTGTTTCAAAGGGTGGGAGTGTGGGTGTAGATTTTATCTTCTTCTTCTTATATCCAGCCCCACACTTATCCACATTCACCCTTCAAGAGCATATCCAATTCTATTCTAATCCAAAGGTTCATGAGAAATAACACTGGCTATAATCAAATACAAAAATTGAAAATAAGACATTCAGCTTCGTCTAACAAAAAGATAGAAGTGACTTTCTTTCTGCTTTGAAGCATTTTATATGTGCTCAATCTGGATAAGCTTTGATCTAATTTATTTAACGCAGCAATAATTATACCGTATTGTTCATGGTAAATAAATGTCTAATTTCGGTCCTGATTATAATCTATTCTTATATCTAACAGCGACAATTGGTAAGAATTCACAATTAGCTATTTTAAATTCGTATTTATCCTTGTTACCAATAATTTCTTCCTGCATTGAATCATTTGCGCCTAGAATTCTTGCACAAGTTGAAATAATTTCACAATGTGCCGTAACTAAAATATGTTTTTCATCGACAAATCTATCAAAACACCAGTTTAAAAATTTAATTGCTCGTAATTGAATTTGTTCTTGTGTTTCTCTTTCATTTGCGTTCCATAATATATCAGAATCTGAATTAAATGCACCAGGCTCAGAAAAATTTACTCGTGGATACAATTGTTTTAATTCAGTAATACTACGACGTTTATCACAATAGTGACGTCCAATAGTTTCACGAATCATTTCATGTGAATAAATTGGAAAGGTAGGATTGTCAAATAGAGGTTGAAATGCTATTTGAGCAGTTTGTATAGCACGAGTTAAAGGTGAAACTATTAATAAATCAAATTTTAATGTAGGAGTAGATTGTTGCATTTTTGTAATTGAATCAAATAGTAATTTTGTTTGATTCCTACCAAAATCAGTTAATTTTGCATCAAAATATTGTTCACTTTTAGCTTCAACACTTTCCCAATGGTCTGTTCCAAATTTAGATTCAGCTTCATTATGTATTCCTTGCGCATGACGAACAAAGTAAAATGTTTTAATCTGTCGTTCTGCTATAGATTGTGGTAATTGAGTAAATTCTTGTACGAATTCACCATAAGTATGACCATTCAGTAAGTTTAACTGAGTGAATGGTAAATGAATTGATTTCTCTGTCTTGCCTTTTTCATCAATTTTCTTAAGAAATGGCGGGAAATATTTCATAGGAATATGCTTGAATTGATAGTTGTCTGAGGCATTTGAAACAGAGCTGGTTAAACCATCTGTTTCGCTGTTCATAATTAAAATAGAAATAAAACTAGAGGCCCTTATGAAGAATTAAAGGGTACTCCTACGTTTTAGTCACGCCTTCTACATACGTATATATATATGTACAGAATAGAAAAAATCTATTGGTTAGTGCATAGCCACTGAATAGGAGAAAGAAAAAGAGATATATAGATGTCAAATGAGAACAAGAAATATTTATTGACAAAAAAAATATACTAAATTGGAAATAATATTTTAATAGGGAGGGTATGAGTATGGATGCGATTATGTTTAATTCCAGTCCACAAGGAAATTGATTTCGTTGTAATTCTTCACGTACAGTAACACTAGTACGTTAGAAAAGTTTAGTTAAAAAGAAATGTCATTAACATGAGATGTTTTATAGATTTTCTAATTACCTTTATCATGTTTGTAATCTGCTGGTTGATGAATAATTTCTTTGATAGCATCAAGCTGAATTAGAGCTAATCAAATTTTTATACAAAAAATACTACATAATTTTATTTCAATAGGAAAAATTTGAAGAACATTATAAACGACTTAAAAAAATCTGGTATTAATCAAAATATAGTTATATAAGAATTAAAAGATTTTCAAAATCCATGATAATACAACAATTTATTTTTAGTATGTATGAAAAAATAATTTCTCATTTGAATATTGATGAAATTGCAACAAATTTTCCACAAGTATATTTTGAAAATTTGATATTTTTAATTTATTTTATTTTGTATATGTATAGGGACTATACGATTCACGTTGGTGGAGTATAGAATCATATTATGAAGAATTAAGTATGCATGTTGTTATTTATTTTAAGATAAATTAAATTGATAAGAAGGTTTGTTTTAAATAAAACACAAAGACTTGAAATGAATCGTAGAGAAAAAGAACGACGAGAACGTCCAAAAGTATATTAATATATTTCTAAATGGTATTTTTGGTATTTTTTTATTTTTCAGATATTTCGTATTATTTAAATAATTTATCATGAAAAGTATTTTGATTACAGGTGCTAATCGTGGTATTGGTTTAGGTATTGTCAAACAACTTGTTTCAAATCCATCATCTATTGAATTCATTTTTGCCGGTTACCGTGATGCTAATAAATCTAAAGTAAATTTTTGAAAAAAAAAGACAAATTAATATTTTTTATATGATAGGAATTGTTAGATTTAGCAAAACAGCATTCAAATATTATTATTCCAATTCAAATTGGTTTGTCTAATTTTTATTTTTAATTCGATTGAAATAAATTAAATTTGTTTTTAAAATTACTTAAGATGTCAATGATGATGAAAGTTGTAATAAAGCAAAAGGTGAAGTTGAAAATAAATTAGGTAATAGTCAAGGTCTCAACTGTTTATTAAATAATGCTGGCGTAAATAAAGATCTAAAATTTAATGATATCAATGAACAAGATATGCTTGATACATACAAACAGAATGTTATTGGACCATGGCGAGTAACAAAGGTGTGTTTATATTGTTTGTTTATTTATGTACAGTCACATATATATATCAATATACATTTTTATCATCTTTAGACATTTTTACCCCTTGTGGAAAAAGCAGTTAGTGGAGAACGAAATGTTCTTCAAGCAAGTATTATCAATGTATCAAGTGTTATGGGTTCAGCTACATTGGCTCCTACACTTCCTTTTTTTATTTTGATTATCAATGTTCTAAGGCAGCACTTAATATGTTTACTGTCTGTTTTGCAGAAACTTTAGCTAAATCAAATATTTATATTGCTTTACTTCACCCAGGATGGGTGAAAACTGATATGGGTGGTGCACAGGCTCCATTAACAACTGAAAAAGCATGTAAAAATATTGTTGAATGTATAAATTCAATGAAGGATGAACATTATGGAAAATTAATTGATTCTACCTCTGGGAGCTCATGTGCTATACTTCCATTTTAAATTAATTGACATCATATATAAAAAAAACTCTTTTTTTATCATTGAAGTTTATTTCATATATTACTAAATAAAGATAGATTATAAGGCTTTTTATTCTAAATATAGATCCATTTTTATTTTTTTAGAACATTAATTAGATGAAAAGTGCTCTAATTTCTGAAGATAAGCGTGCTATCGAGCTATGTATTGGTAAAACAATTTTTAATGTCTAAAACTGATCATGTCTTTGCTACTTATCGTGAAATGAATCGATCTAAAGTAGTTTTCAAAAATTATGAAATAATATATATATAATTGTCCTTGTTAAGGAATTAGAAGAATAAGAATTTCCTTTTCTTTAATTGAATAGATATTACTGGTGATACTAGTATTCAAAAAGCAGTTGAACAATTAGAACAAAGATTGCATGGAAACGATCTAAATTGTTTAATTAATAATGTAGGCATGACAACAGAATTAAGATTTTCGAATATTTATGAAAAAGATATGATGGAAACATATCGACAAAATGTTATTGGACCATAGAATGTTACTAAAGTATATTTCACTCTGGTTTTTTCTCGCTAAGATATTTTTCTTTTACATATTTTTACCTCTTCTTGAAAAATCTGCATTACATTTAAAACAATCATCTGTAATTAATATTTCCTCGATAATGTCTTCACTTGAACTAGCAAAAAATCTTCCATATTATTATTATGATTATCAGTGTAGTAAGGTTAGTTTAGGATTTTTAACTTTATTATTTGTATTTTCATTTATTTCTTTTTAAAATTGCATTAAATATGTTAACAATATTTATGGAACCATGCAAGTATTACGTTAACATGTTTTTGACCATTTTAACCCCTTTTCTAGATAACGCAATCTTCACCATACTTTTTCGTCACATAATTCACAAGTTTAGAAATGAAAAATCAATTAGCTCATAGATATACTGATTTTCACATTACAAGTTCATGGCTAATCATACGATCAATTAATAAGCATTTACGTGGTAAAGATAGTTCTTACATGGAGAATACCAAGAGATAAATGAGCACAATTAAGGTAATTCGAGGAACAGGAAACTAGCATTGACAATATTGGAGATCGATTCTCATTTTTTAGTTCTTATCAATAGAACGGAAAAAATTAACAAAAAGCTCACCCCACATCGACTAACACCCACCCTCAAGATGATCGTATACGATAGTTTACTGCTATCGTTATGTTTGTCCTGAGCGGTAAATACAATCGTAGACGTCTCAAAACGATGCATTTCAGACACGAAACGAGAAGAGAACGGTAATAATAGGATGTGATGTTTCAGATAGTCTGAATGATCGACCTGGGTGCAATTGGAAAAACATTTATTTTCCTAACTTTTAATCGCAACTGATGAACTGATACATAGTTAATCTCTTCGTGAACGTGTTATGAAAGGTTGCGAAGAATTGGACATTGACTCAATATCACATGATATTCCATTAATTACTCATTCTCCATATACTATCCAAGAATGGATAGACTTTAATGATTCAACATTTACTTACATTATATGCAGATATAAAAATGATATACGTCTAAGACAAATTGAACAACAAAAGAAAAACAAGATGTTATCCAATCAGAATCATGAATAACTATTGAACCAGTTGATTCTAAACGGAATTTGAACGAAATAAATGAACAACAAAAATTCAATTTAATGAAAAAAATTTTAAAATTGATGAATTATAACTATTGATTAAGAACATTATTTTATGCAAAAGACAAGCGATCATTGACGATTACATTGATAAAGATAAAACAAAAATCGATATCTAGAATTATTTCTCATTTTATAATCGGTATCTGTGTACAATGTGCCAAAGAAAAAAAAAGAATTCAAAACACGTATGTTTATTGCTCGCTTTTAGACTGTGTGTATGTGTACATATATCTTTGCGCCCTGAATATTTCCTTTTTACATTTTGCACTAATAGAATGTAACGTTTCGGATAGTCTGAACGATCGATCTGGGTACAGTTGGAAAAATATTTATTTTGTTAAACCGTTCAGCACAATTCCCGAAATGTTAAACAGTGAATCTCCTCATGAACGTGGTATGAGAGTATGTCAAGAAATTGGCATTAACTCAGTATTACTCGATGTACCATCAACAACATCAATTGTTCAATCTTTATGCATTATTTATCAATGGATAGATCTTAATCGTTCAAAACGGCTTGTATTATATTCAGATACAAAAAAGATATACGTCAAAGACAGATCGAACAACAAAAACTTCAATTTGATGAATAGAATTTCAAAATAGATGAATTGTAACTCTTGATTAAAAAAATTAATGCTAAAACTGCAAAACAAGATACTGAAATAGGATCCTTAAAATCAAACGTTCATTCGCAATTTATTGCAGTTAAACTACTAGCTAATTTGAACAAAAGAACATTGATCGAAAAATGTCGTTTATATTTGGTAAAAAAATATCATGATTTATTTCACAATCAAACTGATATTGTCGTTACAGATGCCATAAAATACCGTGATGAAACAGTATGATTAATTCGAACTATTCATATTTTTTTGATCTCTTTGTTCTATTGTTTCTTATAACAGCTGCTTACTGTATATATAGTGTTTTTTTCCTTGTTTTTTATATATTTCTGAAGATGATAATAATTCTTATCGAAAGCTCGAATAAAGTTTGATTTTTTGTTTAAAACCTATTATATTTTTTTGTAATAGTTCTATATTCGATTATTTTTAGATTATTTCCAACTGCTTGACCTACTAATTATTTAAAAACTCCGTGATGCTTATCAATATATGCCTAGATTTATGAATGGATTATACCAAGGACAAGATGCATTTGATTACATGTAGCAAAGAACGAGAATGTGTACAACAGGCACGTGGCAATAAAGGATCCTATTATCAAACTATCAGTGACACATTTTATACCAACCGAAGTGATGGACATCCTTTTGAATGACACCCTCCTTTTGTCTATTCTACTAATACGTGATCTTTTGCGGTATGGGTGTATGTGCTATTTCTATCTCATACTCGCATCCACGCCCACACCCTCAAGATGATTTTCAAACATAATCTTTTTCGGTTTTTTTATCTTATTTTAGAACTCGTCTTTTCCTAGCAACTGTGCTGAAGAAGGTGATAAACAAGTAAGAAAAACTCAAAATCCATACCCACACCCCAGCATTTTTCACTTAATTTTTTTTCCTCATCAAATTATGTGTTTAAAATGATAAAGATCTTTGTGATGATTATTTTAGAAGCCTGTCGACTATTTATTAAGGGAGCGTGTGGTGAGTACGGATACTATAGTGACCTAGCACACATACGCACATCCTCTCCAAATTAAACAAAAGAGAAAATAATATATTCTTTTTTTTTGTTTTTAGATGTACTACTAAAAATTCTAGATTTCTGTAATTGAAATAAGATATATATCATGAGTGATCGCGATAAAAACGCTCCTGAGAAATGAAACAGAAAATATGTCAAGTGAAAGATTGCTGCAAATTCTGATAACGTAACTAATCTTCAAAATCAATTGAAGAATATTCAGTCAGATTTTAAATCAGATATGATCCCTATATTGTTTATTATTATCACCCAAGTCAAATATAACGGTTCATGAACGGTGAATAACGACTACCGTTACAACGACCGTTGATGATACATCGGAAAATGGCTAAATAATGTGATAAACGCCGTCGTATATCATAGTTTACTACTATCGTAATGTCTGTCCTCGGCGGTAAATACAATGTTAAACGTCTGAAAACGGTGCATTTCAGACACTAAACGAGGAGGAAACGGTACTATTTACTCAATACTACTTGATGTACTATCAATAGTATCAGTTATCAATTCATCAAGTACTATCAAACAATGGATAGATCTTAATGGTTCAGAATCCCCATACATTGTGATCAGATTCAAAGATGATATACGTCTATGACAAATTGAACAATAAAGGGAAAAACATGATATTAATTAATCAGCATCACCAATTATTATGGAACCAATTGATTCTGCGTCGAATTTAAAAGAAATAAATGAACAACACAAACTTCAATTTAATGAAAAAAATTTTCAAATTAACGAATTATAACTGTTAATTAAAACCATTATGGGTGGGGTGTGAGTGTGGGTATCATATATGGATTCTGAACCCACACCTACCCCACCCTTGTTGTGTCAACTTAATATATTTATTCTTACTCTTTATTATTATTATTATTATTATTACTCGTCAATAAAAAATTACGTTTCGGAGCTGTTCAAACGATTTATACCATTTGCATCTATTTTCCACGACGCATTTATTCATGAAGCCAGTCAAAAAAGCATTGCCGAATCTGTCCTATGCAGCAATTCTACACAAAAACATATATGGGTCAACATGTTAAAGACAGTATTCAACGAAGAACCAATATTAGAAGACGATGTTAACTAAATAGCTTCTCAAGATGAATATGTTAAAAACATTATTTGTTTTTATTTAAACTATGTTTTTTTCGATATGATATTTGTTTTTTGTAATAAAAACTTGATATATTTGATTTCTTTTTTTTAATTTAAAAACAAACATTATTTAATAATTGTTCTTAGCTATCGAAAGATCATTCCATTAAAGTCGAACGGATCATATTATATATAGTCAACGATTTTGATCAGCTCGTATCAAACTTGAGAATGTGTCTAATGATAGTGTACATAACGTATATACAGTGTTGGGTGTGGGTGCTGATTTTATCTCACACTTGCACGCACACCCACACCCTTAAGATGTCTGTTGTAGAGGGAGAGGTATATTGTTTTTATATACGATTCTGTTTCGTTCCATTACTACCACTCTTGCATGCACTTATTCACAATAATTTATACAATTGAAAAATAAGTTTTCATGGAAACTAATCAAAAGGTTTCCGAACAAGCCAAAACGTATTTTGATTGATGACCGAGAAAATCTATTCTTTCTAGAACGTATACTATCATTGAATGATTTTCAAAACACTATATTTTCCGTTTCTTTTATCTCATTTTAGAACTCGTCTCTTTCAAGCAATTGTACTGAAGAAGGTGGTAAACAAGTAAAAAAAAGCTCAAGATTCATACCCACGCCCGCCCTCAAGATGGTTATATACAATAATTTGCTGTTATCGTCATGTTCGTCCTGGGCGGTAAACACAATGGTAAACGTCTGAAAACTGTACATTTCAGACACTAAACGAGAAGAGAACGGTACTATATGTTGAAATTAAAAAAATACTCTGCATTCATTCATTCATACACCCGTCAAGATTTATGTAAGTCATTAGGTTGAAATATTAATAGTAATAATGAACACAAGAAGAAGAGAGCATCTTTCGACGAAATTTAACTGGAGAAATCTATTATTATTTATTAGTTTTTCTATTCATATATTTTCAATAAAGGAACTTAAATAAGTAACGACATCAATTTAACGAAAACAAAATGACCATTAAGAATGAGAGACAAAAAACTATTAGAAAATATTTGTCTTATTATCCTTATTTGATTTGTTTTATAAAATTCAAAAAGATATTAGAAATAAAATTCAATAAAATGTCTAAATCTACGTGCTTCTTACATAATTTCAATGTTATATAGTTGTAAATGTAAAGAAAAACAATATAAAATTATGACTCATAATTTCTAGTTGAATTAGTATAATATGCTAGATATATATATGATCTTCTTTGCATGAAATGTTTTTATGTCAACTCTAACTTAGAGAATCAAGGTTAAAAGAAAATCTTGATTAAAATATTTATTTTGAGGGTGTGGCTGTCTACTCTTTCTATTAACTTCCACGTCCAAACCCTCAGGTTGTTTTTAAGAGGAATAACTAATGGTATTGACAATAGAAATGATTAGTTTGCTTTTGAATAGAGACATCAGATCTAATTATTATTTGTTGTAGTTCTATGCACGATGACTATCTAAAATAATATTGATTTTGAAATGCTGTAAAAGAATGAAAAAAAACAAGATGACAAACTGTGGAGCTGATTCAAAAACTTTATTGCTGCAAATAAATGAGTAATTAAAAGAAAAGAAAAGAACACACTAGTTGAAATGTTGTAATAAGCCATTGCTAAGTACACCGATGAAACCTACCATAAACAATATCATGACGTTCATATTGTGTTTGTTAGCGTCAGCACTTCGGACGCTGTTTGCATTGCATTGTGGAATCAAATTATTGGTAATAGTGATGGTGGTACTATCAGAACCAAGCGTAAGTGATAATAACTGGCCGATCAATCCCAACGAACTCGTGAAACCAGCTGGAGAGGGAATCATGATCGAGAACGTAGATAGACCAAAACAAAGGCCACTCAAGCCTGTTGTCATCGACAGTGTAGATGAACTAGCTGGGGCCACTACTAATTGTCCGCTAAAACAGCAACAGTAAGCTGTATTGCATGAGGGAGTGATGTTAAATGTACCAATCCAAGTTTGCGACTCGATTCCTGTTAGAAGAGTCATCAGAACAAGTGAGTGCATCGAATGCATCAACATAACTTTGTTCGATCTTAAAATGAACAAAAAATGGTTTTAATGTTGAACGTAACGTTCGATATAATTACGTTTCTCATAATTAAAACTCTCATCTGTGAAGAAATTGAATATATTCTTCATTCTCTGACTACAGAAAAAGATAGAAAGGGAAATATATTGTCGGAAAAGGTCATACTAATTCATTCTATTTACCATCTGCTCTATGACAATTGTATAAGAGAAACATAATATGTCGAAGGATATTGAGACATGCTATTAAAAGAGAAAAAGACAAAATGATTCAGTGCTTACTTTTCAAACAAAAGGAAGGATATGTTTTCAAAGCCAATCATAGAGGTACAAAGTGCATGTTTGGAATCAATTACTATTGTAACCTTTGCAATATTTGTAGTCATCTATTGATGACTGATGTGAGATGAATCATTGTTTGACATGAATGAAAGACACTTAAATCATGCTTATCATTAAAAAATTCAAGAATATTTATTATCACATCAACAATTTATAATAAGAAAAAAAGGATAATTAATTATTTTTTTTGTGAGAAAGGATTTATATTTCGTGACCATTTTATAATCAATGAATGTTTATCATCTTCAATGAGACTTAAAAATTGTTCTAAAACTGATTTAGAACGATTGAAAATCACTTGTTTTTCATCATTAGTAATCATTTCTTGATCTTCATCCAATGATTTAAGAACAGTTTCATAGATTGAATGAAGTTGCTGAATATCTTCATTGAATTCTTTCATAGATTTATATTGTTTAGGGCAAGGTAAAACACGTCGTTTTATTGTTCCTGAATAAAATTTTGCTAATTCATCATATACTTCCAATACTTTTTTATATACAATTGATACGTTCGTTCTTATCTGTGATTGTCTAAATAATTCGTCTGATATTGTTTGAATGAGATCATTAAAATAACACTTTTCTTTCCATTCATTTGGTATATTATCAATTCCACAAAAAGCTCCAGCTAACATTCCATAAATCGCTCCAACAGTATCAGCATCATTACCTAAATTAACTGCTTTTAATGCACCTTCTTCAAATGAATTTGTATGATAAAATGCCCATAATGCTGCTTCCATTGTTTCAATAACAAATCCTGATGCTTTAATTTCTGGTGGATTAAGTTGTTTATATGAACCATTTATTACTTTGAAAACATCTGCATCAAGTGGATTGTTTATCCAATAATCATTTGGTAAACCATTTGGAACAAATAATTGGTCAGTATTTAATAAATCATCTTTTGAAAATCCTTGTAAAGCACCAATAATTAATACTGTATAGATTCGACAACTATCTAAACAAAGTAATGAAGCATGTGTTGTTTTTGATGAATTCATTGCTTCAATTACAGCATGAGAAGGATCTTGATAATAAAGTAATGGAATTGGTGCCAGTCGCATCAATGAACCATTTCCTGATGCTTTATTACTTGTATTTCCATAATAAGCAGTTTCTGATTGATCAGAATTTGAAATAAATTTATTTAAAGCAATTCGTACAGTAATTCCAATATCAAAACATTCACCATTTGATGATAAATAACCATTTGCATACCAACGTCGATATAAATTCATTTGTTTAATTGATGAATGAATATTATTCAAATTATCTAATAAAGCAATAGATAAACATAATGCCATTGATCCATCATCTGTAAATTGTCCAGGTTTTAATTGAAATTTTCCACCACCTCGTAATGATTTTACGGGATCAAATGAACCAGAAGTTTGACATTCGACTGCAGTTCCTAATGAATCACATAATAATAATCCAAATAAAGAACCAGATATACGATCTGATAAACTAATTTTATTCATAATAAAACGACTATATATATTTTGTTGTTTTCTTCTTATTACGAGAAGAAAAAAAGCAAAATGCATATTTTTTTCTTTCCATTCTTCTCATGAATCGTGCGATAAGATTTCTGTTTGACTGAAACATGGTCATAACATTCTCGCACGTTGACTCATCGTTCTGTCAGTCGTACGCATGAGTCATTACTCTTTTTGAATGTCAGGTTTTACGGTGAAAATTAAGCAAATTGTTCTTATGAAGTCGTGAATCTTTCTTGAGGGTGTGGGTGTGGGTGTGGGTGTCTCTTCTTCTTTATCATCTGCATCTTCACCCACACCCTCACATATATGATCATAAATATTATGAAATAAGTAGTTTTTGTATAAATAAATGTATGATTTCTGAATTTTTATATTTATTCGAATAACTATTTCAAAATAGATTTTTTGGCATAAATAAGCAGATACGCTTTAGAATTACAATATATTTTTGTAAATCTGTAATGCGTTCGTAGTAATCATCACTAACATAATACCATTACTTGCTTACATCGTGAAGTATACAAGCTTTATAATGATCTGAAGTAAGAGAATCTGTGTGTATGGATACAGTAATAAGATCGTAAAGATCTTCGAATTTTTATTGTTTGGTTCGATAAAAATTGAAATTGGTAAGAGAATAATCGATGATAGTCATCACTTTTCGATGTGTTCCATCGAATGGAAATGTCTGAGTTGAATAATAATAAGTACAGAAAAGATACTTTAAAAGGATCAATCGATTTATGTAATTATATGGATTGTAAACGTGGAAGTAAAAGTCGAGATTTGTATACATTAAGGTTATTATTACCATCATTAAGAAAATTAAATGCAATTACATAAGATCTTATTTTAAATGAAATACAAAAAAATATCGAATCTCCATTATTTTTTCAAGAGTTTATCTCAATGAACATTCTATTGAACAGTAATCTTTAGCTATCTGTTTTTTTCTTTTTCTTTTATTTGTTTGTTTGTAATGGTGAAAGTTCATGTTGTGTGTATGCATGTGTTTTTATTTACAACTCAAATGTCTTTCTTAATTATAATTCAAATAGAAGTACGAATTGAATATTGTTGATTTGATAATGAGTCCGCAGCACATATTTTTATCCATTGAGAATCATTTATAGGTGGATAATATAAATAACACATTGGATTAATTGGTGGTGTAGATATATATAAAGATGGAGTGTTAAATAATGATTCAATTGTACCAATAAGAGTAACCGAGACAAATATAATTAAAAATAAACGATCAAGTATTAAAGCAATAAAACGCCATTCTTCAATAATCTAAATAATTATTAATAGTTATAGACAAAATCTTTTAATTAATATAAAAAGAAATAGATTAGACCTCTTTTTCATTTTTTTCATTTTCAATTTGTCGTACAATATAAGCAATATGATTCGATATAATTTTTACAAGATGTTTTCGTTGTTCATCTTTGAATTTATATAATAGACATTGATGTGGATGAATTGAATTTAATTGTTCTCTTATATGTACATATTTTGTTGATAGAGATGGTCGTTTCATAAAAAGAAGTTTTGGTAAATAAATTAAAAGGGTATTTCTAAGCCAAGATGGCATATCTGTTGTTGGATGACGACGAAAATGTATATTCAGTGTTATGACTGTAATAGTAATAGATAAATTAACAAGAATAAGTGTAAAAAGAAGATATTTTCCGAGTAATGATATAACTAATGATGTTGAAGGAATAAGTTCCATAAGTAATAAATAAAATACAAGTAATGCAACAAGAATTGATACAGATAATGTAATTTTTTTCCGACTATCTGATGGCAAAACAAAAACTAATACAGTTAGAACAGATATATTTATACATGGAACAATTAAATTAATCGTATAGAATAATGATTTTCGTTGTATTGTACATGTAAATGTTAAATCAAGATATTTTTCCTTTTCTTCTTTAACATATGCATAGACTTTTTCATGACGAATTGCTTTAAGATCTAAAAGAAAAGTTTAATAAATATAAAGAATTTCTTTTTTTTTCTTCATTTGATCTACTTAAAATTTCCCATTCAACTGATGGAGTGTAATCTTCAAGATCCCATCCACGATCGATAACTGATGAATGATTATCAGTTAAAAATTGTAAATTAACTAAAGAATCTGGATATGTCCATGTACCAAATTTAAGCGTACAATTTTGTGTATCATATGGATAATACTGCATATCGATTGTACAATATGATTTATAAATCATTGGTGGGTTCTATCAAAATAAAAATTCTTACTTTGAAATATTAAATAAATTTAACTAACCCATCTCACTGTTCCATCATATTGAATATATGCTTTTGCTTTCGATGTTATTTGATAATCTCCATCAGCATCTTAGATACATAAATGAAAAGAAAAAGTGTTTATCATAGAATAAAATAATCAATTTACTATTATATAAAACAAGATCTGGTTTCCATATTAAATTATTTGGCATGTATATATATTCTACTCCATCAAAATCATCTGGTGACCATACGAAACTAAAATCTTTCCATTCCTATATATATATACACAAAATGGTTTTATTGTAAAATATTTTGAGATATACTTACATGTAGTACATAGACATGAGTTTGCATAATTTGATTTATTTCATTCTATAAAAAACAATAAAACTATTCATCAATTTAATCATTGAAGTATTTATACATACAACATCATCAATTTGAATAAGTTTAACACCAATTTTAACTGTAAGTCTATGAGAACTATTTTCAATAGGACGAGCATATTTATTATAATTTAACATTAAATAGCGATAAAGTTCATCAATTTTTTCACTAGAAGCTAAAAATCAAAAAATGAATTTTTAAGGAATAAAGATATTTATTCAATTTACTTATTAAAAATATATTCATAAATACAATAAGAAAATACAAAAAATATAGTTTCATTGTATGTAAGTATAACGTTGATTGAAGAAAAGAATTGTCTTTTTCTATAACGAATAAAACATTATAAAGAAATAAATTATTCATGCAAACATAAGTCACTGTAAATAAGGAAGGAAGCAATCAATTATCTATGAGATGATCTTTAATAGAAATTCAAAACAATCTATTCTTGAATAAAGATCAATTGAAATCTCTACGTATTTTTTTTATAACGTAATATTTTTCATAGTAGCTTTATTCTATATTTAACTTCCATCTGTATATCAGTAATCAAGAAGATTTATCTATATCAAACTATTCTCATATTGGTTGTTTAATATTTGAATCTAATAAACAATATCTTATGAATTCTATTCAAACAAATTCATCATTAGCATATCAAACATGGCAATTGAATTATGTTTACGTTTATGTCGATGATGGATTATTTTAATCAATTCAAATCATACAAATTGTATTTGTTTATATACAATAAATAAACCATATCAATTTCAATAATAACATTTTATTTATTACCATCATTATCATCTATTTATCAATGGTTACTTGATGGTTGTTATTATTTACATGGTATTCAACAATATTAAGCTAATCGTTTTTTAACTCATATGGATTATACACAAGCAATAAATACATGTCGAATTTATTGTCAGATTACACGTAATACAAATTATTTAAATCTAAAAGTAATTTATTTCTATCAAATGATTTTTGTATTGTTGTAAATCAAACTAATTTAAATCAATTTCAATTTTTCGATCTTCTTCCATGTTCAATAGCACGTTCACCAAATTATGTATTATGTACACAAAAAACTTTGGGTATAATAATTACAGATGAAGTAGATTTTACATTGTATTATCCGGCAGCGGCAGTGATAAAAAACTTCATTGACTCAGTTTTAGAGTGTGGGTGTGATTATCTATATTCTGAGTCCATACCCTCATCCTCAAAAATATTTTTTGTTTTGTTTGCAAGAAAAGCTTTTTGAATATAGACGCTATATAATTTATTAAAATTGTAATCTTTTCCGAAAAAAACAATAAATGAGGTTTAAATGTGTAATAATATTAATTTAATATATGATATTGTTGAGTTTATTATATAGTTGGAATAATATGATTGCGATCAGTACTTGCTAATTATCTAAGAAAAAAATAGAAATGAATCTCATTATAATTAAAATAGATCATAATGATAATATAGATTCTGAGTACTTACTAGTTGGACATCCTGATGTTGGTAATTGTATCATAAATTTTTGTATCCGATTATTTGCTTGATCAGTAACATACAAATTTCCTTGTGAATCAAATTTTAAGTCTCGAATACCATTGAACTGATTATTAGCTACTCCTATAGCGCCAGTACAACCTACTACACAGATGCCTCCTGCAGTATAGTTTGTTGTCCATTTAACGATGCGATTGTTGTTGTTATCTGCCACATATATATATCTAAAAATGAAATGTGATATATATGTAGTTTGAATTAAAAAGAAATTCTGATAAAAATATCAAAACTAAACTACCTATAAAGTGTTTTAATTGAGGTTTTTTTTACATACCCATTATTGTCAACAATGACCGCATTTGGATTGTCCAACAATGTCAAATTTGAACCAGACACACCATTGATGTTGCCAGCAACAGTGACTCCACTTGTCGCACCAACAGCCCACATCTGTATCCTGTTGTTTCCTGAATCGGCTATGTACAATGTTTGGTTTCCATCTACAAAATTTCCAAAAGGTGCACTGAGTTGATCAGCTCCGGAACCCGCTCCATTAGTAGGAGCTAAAATTACACCTATTCCACTATTAGGATAATATTTTACAATTTGATTATAGTCCGAATCAGTAACATAAATGTTATTATTGACATCAACATGTAGATCTCGGATTTGACCAAGAAGATTTGATGAACTATTCTTTGCAATTGTCGTAGCTACTGTAGAACCAAAAGGAAAACGTTGTATTCGGTAATTAGAGCTGTCAGCAACAATAATGGCACCATATTGATCAACGGCAACACCTTTAGGCAATTTCAATTGGCTAGAACTGTTACCAGCAGTAAGATTTCCACCCATGACTATCCCAGTATTTGTATTGGCATAATATTTCATAATTCGATTGTTACTTCGATCACAAACATATAGGGTATTATTATTATCGACAAAGATGCTGACAGGACCACGAAGTGAACCTAAATCAGAACCTGCTGTTCCATTGGCATTTCCAGCTACTGTAATTCCAGTTTGATTCCAAGTAGCACATGTTGGAATTTTTAGTGCATATATTCCAGATGGAGTAACTAATAACAAATGAATAACATAATTTATATTAGAGTTCGAAAATAAACTGGAATAAGATGAACTGACAAGAAAAAGAAGATAAAGCACCGTCAAAATTCTTTCTATGAAATATTCATATAAAAATCGTCCATATCAAAAAGTGAATATACACATTAACCCTTTAAGTACCAACGGGGCCTATAAGCCCCACTCTTTAAAATTTGACAAATTCTGAATAAATTGCGAATGCGAAACAATATCGAAGTGCACTTGTCATTGTGGCATAGGGGACATGTAGGTGCTTGTATTCGCGCGGTATTTATCATTTTAATAATCCTTCAAGTACCACCGTGCCGTAAGGGGGTACGGGTATTGATCGAAAATGACTTCGAAAGTTTTTTAAAAATTTTCAATGAAAATATTCACAACATACAATATACATGTTAGAAATAAAGTCCTAACAAAGTTTCATCCATTGGCTGAGCTATGGTACTTAAAGGGTTAATTGATAAAAATATTAAAGAGAAACAAATTAATTTCACATAATTTCCAATACTATGAAATTATATCAATAGTATTTTTATTCTCGATGAATACTTGTTTATTACTATTACAACGGTAACGCACTCTGTTATTTGATAAAACAACATGATGCGATACTAACAGACGATTTATAAAGATTATATAAATTTTATTTTCTGTCGATAGAAATCAAAACATTCTTCCTCTATCATACTCTGCTCTATATAGAAATAAACTCTTACAAGTGATTGTTGTTTCTGTTGTTGTAGTGGTAGAAGTACTTGATGTTGTCGAAGTAGTTGTACTAAATAATATAAATGCTTTGATAAATAAGTATGTAACTAATATTATAACTTACGATGAAGTTGTCATCGAAATTGACGTACCTAAATTATATATTGAAATAAAAAATATATTTTTATGAATTTTGTGAGAAATAAACGAAAAAAAATGTATAAGATTCTATAATTTCTTTTTCTATTTCAATAATAATCTCAGTTTACATATTTCTATATCATTACTACGACTTATAGACATCAGAAGATTCATTTTGTTTATACTTAAGAATATCTATAGAAAACTGATCGTTAGAATTATTTTTTAATTGATAGAAGACTGTCTCAGAACTACATTATATAACACATCAAAAATAAGAAATAAATAGATTTCTTACTTAATTGAATAGTTGTTATTGATAGTGATGATTGATTAATAAATATAAAAAAAGAATTTGTATTGAATTGAATTACAATTGAATTGATATTATTATTTAATAATTGACATGTTCTATTTATACGAAAATAATTTAATGTAGATAAATTTAATTTTATCATCTCACAAATACATTGATCTTTAGTTATATCTATCAATGAATTATTTATAATACCAATCATTGTATAATTTTCTATTGTACCAATTTCAATCGAATTAACAATAAAAAATAATGATAAAATAAGAATTATTCGTATCATATTGTTTTGCTTTATGTTTTCAAAAACACTTTAAATTGTTTAAAATTACTAAGTTACTAGTTTTTTTTCTTATATTTTCTACATCTCTTTCCATATTTAATATTTAATCATCACAAAAGGCACCACACTGTTTTGCAGAAAATGTTTGTTAGAAAAAAAACAGCATAGTCATGATTATATTATTCACAAAGAAAAGTTTAGAAGTTGCCTTCTTCATAAATAACAGTTTTTTTGTTAATTAAACTGTGTGTTAATATTGCTCAACGAGTATTATGGAAAAGAAATACACATATGGCGATTACATATCTTTCTTTTATTAAGTATTTCAAGAAGAGAAAAATAAACATAAAATTGTTTTATAAAGAAAAATAATTAAAGAAATGGAAAATACAAAAGAAATATTTCAATGAGTTATTTATATTATCCTTCGTTCTTTTCTGTTCAATTATTCATTTGAAGAATAGAAAGAAAACGACTTGTTCATTTCTTAAATACAATTAGAAGTTTATTTAGATATATAATTCTTCTTTTCTTCAGATAAATTCTTTAAGTTAGAGAAACAAAAGTTTAATGTCAATTAAACTTTGATATTTTTTATTTTGTCTGTATGGATACAAATGTAAAATCAAACTGTTAATTTAAATTATCTCTTTATTTTTAGTCGTACACCGGAATTTAATGAGTAATTTCTTTTTAAAAGTGAAATACTCATTCCTGTTTTCTTCATAAAAAACATAAGTGTAATGTATAACATCTTCAATTATCAGTGTTCGTCTTATATTTAAATAAAATGGATGTATTTGAACAGTAACAAATAGAATAGAAATCTATGATTATTTCACAAAAAGTAATTTGAGTACTCAATCGTTATACTCAGGTACACATATGTATCATTGCTATTATATTTACTCACACAATTATAATAAATTGATCGATCATATTTGTCTTTAATTATATTTATGTTATCAAACATTTAATAATATCCCAGCAGCTTGCAAAATAGATGTTACGACAATAGAATTAATAAGTACAATCTATTATGCAAGAATTTGATGTATGTAGAAGCTTTTCATAGAAGAAAAGACGATACAACTGCGTTAGATTACTATATTTAATCGTTAAATAACAAACAATAACAAAATGATTACATCAAAGTAGTGATATGGATTCAATCGTGTCAAAGTAAACATACCAGTGGTTTTTCTCATGTTTCCTTCATTCTACTTTGAAAATGAAAATTACGGTATAGCAATATCATCTCTGAAGAAAGTAATTTACATTTTTTGAGTTATTGTATCACTATCAAACGATATCTTTAAAATATATTTATGAAAAATTAGCATTAACCTATTCGAACATTAGTGGCTTGTTAGTATTTGCATATACTGATATCATACCGATTTATGTAATTCAGGAAGATCTTGAAGGGCCGATAGTTTATTGTCAGAAACTAGATCTGTGGATATTCAATATAACTTCAAACCCATTGATTCACATTCTTTTTTTCTGTTAAACGTGTAGCTGGATTTCAATAGAAAAATATTCATGTTTGGCATTCTGCTGTAAGAATTGGTGTATTTCTAGTTAATGATGTCGTACTACTCATTTTGTTCATGATAGTAAAACGACTAAATCGAACATTTCTATATCTAAAATGTTATTGAATAGTAAGAATTATTTTTTTCACTCTTTATTTTCTTATAATATTTGAGAAATAAAACAGTTAATTAATAAATGAATATGAGTTTATTTATTTTAATGCTAAATACCAATTGCACATAAAGATTGTAATTTTTATCATCTATTGGTTCATTTTCCGCGGCTGGAACGTCGTGTTGCTATTTCATTCGCAGCGGCAATTCCAAAAAAATAGATTGCATCGGGTAACTTATTGGAAAATACCTTCACTCTATATTTAACTGAGAAAAACTTCAATCTGGATTCCTTCTCAGATGTAGCCAAAGTTGTTCGATTACCTTCATCTCGAAAGGATATGCTTCGATCATCTCCCTTTTTACGTAACACATTCACACGATATCCATTCCATTCAATGAAGATGTCGTTAGATAATTTGTGATAAATTGTTCCATTTATCGTTTCATTAGAAATAGGATCAAAAATAGAGATTATACCGTTGTACATAAGATTTACAATTTTTTCTTTCAACGTAGCGACGATTTTTTTCGACGGATGAGCAACAAGTTCGAGATTTTGCATCAAACCAAATCGACTTTGGATGCGATATTTCAGTGTAAGTCCCGTTGTATCTAAAATTGAGAATTCAGGAGCTCTGATGAGTTTGAAGAAATGGCCTTTGATAAGATAAGATCGAACTGCAGGTAGAGGATTGACAGGAGCGAATACAACAGTTACCAATAATAGAACACAGGAGAAGAAACGAATCGATATCATCTTATGTCACCTTGTAATCGATGTGTAGTTGTGTATGACCTTAAAAATATCAAATTGAAACAATTTATATAGATCCATTTTTCTATGATTAATATTCGAGTACATACTCTTGATAAAAAGCCTTTCATTGTATGATTTAATGAGAACTATTCATCTCAAAACAAATAGATAAATCTCAACTGAAAAACATGAAAAGATATTTATGCTAAAGGCGTAAATAAAAAAATCTCAATGTGCTTGAGAATGTCGACGTGTATCTTTCTCTTTTTAATTGACATTTATATCTGCAGCTATACCCTCAAGTTTATATATAAATCAAAGGTCATCTCAGACCAAATGTAGACGATTCATTCTGTTTTTTCATATGAATTATATTCAAAACGAAAAAAAAGAATTCAAAGTCATGTCGTGAGATTCAAATAATCAATTGAAGTTTACATTGGCATTACTACTTTCTTTATGAGATCTATTACACGACACAATAAAATTGTCAAAAAAAACGTTTTATATTTTTTCAAATTTAATATGTGCTTTTTTTCACGTGACTCGAGTCTAATTTTAGTATCTTCAATCTTAGTTTATCTATTTGTTAGCTTTAGTGCATATACTGAATGCAAGATATTCGTATACTAAAGTACTTTTTAAGAACGCATTTGGAGATATATTCTACTTCCAATGTGTCATACGATCTTGGTATAGTGATGATCATAAGCCTGATATTATTGTCACAAAGTTCGATAGTCAGAATATCAGTGTTTTTTTCTCGTTAAATGCTGACGAAGAAACTTAATTCTATTATTGTATACTAATCGTGTACCACCTTCTATCCAAAACAATTCGATATAAATATAACAAATGCGCTAGTATTTAATTGTGAATTCAGCTTTTTAAGAAACTTTGCCCGAAAATAAATAAATCTTGAGAGTGAGGGTAATGATGAATAGATCATAGTCAATCTCTCATTATTTAATGGACAGCCAACGGACGTAGGAAGTAAAATAAAATCTGTAGCACTGTCAAATCTACTACTTATCAAAAGTTTCCTTGAGAAAAATTCAAAAAAATCAAGAGTAAAAAGCATCAAACAGGACGTTTGTAACATTATTAATATAACATGGAAATAGGTATGACTGAACGAGAGGGTGCATTTGAAGTCAGAAAAATAAAGAACGATTCATGTTAAAAAATTCGTTGATCTATTGGGTAGAATGACATTGAAGAAGAACTTGATATGAAATTAGTGCATAAGGAACATGAACAAGAACAAAGACGAAAAGTACATAACTTCTCTTTCGCTTATGTTTTAAGATACAAATCGATTGTTCTTCTTTTATCAGCATGTGTTATATAGCCATAGCTAATGACAATATATGCCATTCAGTTCGCAGACCTGAATGAACTGTTATTCATATTTTCCTCAATGCTTAGATAGCATCATTAAAGAATGATCATTAGTGTTAAAAAATTTAGTCATATATTTAATTAATAATTAATAAAAAATCAGTTTATGCATTGAGATTCACTATCGTTTTTGTGAAACCATAATTATTTTGTTTTCCTATCACCAAAAATATACGTTTCGACCCGGAATAGTTTGATGCATCTTCGATATAAGTTGTTTGCCTTGACCATCAATTGGATTTGCGCCAAGATCCAATGTCATGAGTGTCTAGATGAAATAGTGATCATAAGTGGAAAGACACAACAAGTGAAGCTGTTACTTTATTGACTTTTAAAGCATTGACAAAATACTCTGCTCCTTGAACATCGATATCATTATACCTCATATCGAGTGAGATAAGTGTCTATGTAAAATAATGAATGACGAAACAAATACAAATATGTTCAATAAATGTTACTTGATTTTGCTGTAAACCATTGGCAATATACTGTGCTCCTTGGTTATTGATATGATTTCTGTAGATATTAAGTGCGGTAAGTCCCTAAACGTAATAGCAAGTACAGAATACAATGGAAAGATTGAGAGAAAGTATGGTACCTCGTTTTGTTTCAAAGCATCGGCAAGATCGTGCACTCCTTGTGGCCCAATCATAATACATCCCAAAAATAGTGTGGTCAGTGTCTATATAAAGTCTTATGTAAATTGTAGATGAAAAAAGTTGACAACATGTACTTTATTTTTTTTTAGAGCATTAGCAAGATGCGCTATTCCGTCATCGCTAATTTCATTGGAGCTGAGATCAAGTGAGTTGAGAGTCTGTATGAAATAATGGTGAAGTGATTTCATTGAGCGAGTTGAACAGAAATGTTACTTTGTTTTTCTGCAGGCTATGAGCGAGATGTTCTGTTCCATTGTTACCAATTTGAGTCAGACTCAGCTCAAGTATAGTGAGCGTCTATATATAATAACATGCGGTTCATAAATTGAGAAGATGACGGATGTGTTACCGTGTTTTGCTCTAAAATATTGGCAAGATACTGTGCTCCAAGATCACCAATTTCATTGCCGTTTAATGCAAGTGTAATGAGTGTCTATTGCAAAACAATATCTGAAAGATAGAATGAAAAGACTCGGATGAATTTACATTGTTTGTTTCTAGAGCATTCGCGAGATGTTGTACTCCTTGTGGACCTATTTGAACAGATCCGAGTATCAGTGTAGAGAGTGTCTATTTGAAACAGTTAATGTATATTGTTATAGAAAAAATTATAGAAGGATTACTTTGTTTTCTCGTAGGCCATCGGCAAGGTATTGTGCTCCTTGATCACCAATTGCGTTAGAATGGAGTTCTAGTGTAGTGAGTCTCTAAATATCATATTGAGTGAACGAAACATATATAGATTGTGAGAAGATGTTACGGTGTTTCGCTTGAGATCATTAGCCAGATAGTATGCTCCTTGTGGACCGAATTGATTGTATCCAAGTACCAGTGTATTGAGTGTCTATGTATCAAAATGATTGAGTGATAAAATGAGAAGAGAAGAGGTTTACTTTATTTCGTTGAAGAGCATCGACAATATGTAGAACACCTAGATCACTGAGAGGACAATTGAATACGGTAAGTACAGTGAATGTCTATATAGTAAAACACAAACTGAAATAAACATTTATGTTCCTATCTTTTTTAAGATTGTTAAAGCTCTTCTAAAATATTTCGAAAATGTAGAAAAAACTCACTTGATAGCGATGGTAGCTATCTAGAATTGTATCGATGCGTATACATACATTTTGCATAGAACATAACATAGTTAAATCGTCAAGCTGATCAAAAACTCGATACATAAGTTCTACTGGCAATCCCAGAAGAGATGAAATCATTTTATTAGACATCAACGAAAGTTAACAATTGCCTCAAAATTGTACAATGACACACGTGGATAGAAGAATGCCAATAATAAAAAATGTGAAAGCCGTATGGTTTAATCTTTAAAGTAAAATAATAAGAAAGAATAAAATAGATGTATTAAACTGAGCGCATTTCTAAATCTGTTTTAAAACTAAAAAATACGACTGCCAATTAGAATCGTTATCTATGAATTTAATTGTAACCATAGATAATTATTTTCTAAATCATTTCACAACAATACACTCTGATAATGTAAAAGTAGAAAACTGTTTTTTTAACACTTAAGTACAATAATTGAGTAGAGATAAATTCATTGATTACTAGTAGATAAGGTTGGGGCTTCATCACATTCTAATAGACAAATAGCACCGTATTTATTTAACCATTTTAATTCTTCTCTAACTTTTATTTTTTCATGCCATGGATTAGTTTTAACTAGATGACCTTCACCTGGAAAAACAATTAATTTCGATGGTATACCAAGAATATGAAGAGCTCGTTTTAATAGATAAGATTGTGCAGTTGGAACTCGACAATCATTTTCACCCGTAACCATATGCGTTGGTGTTCGAACTTTGTGTAACTGAAATATTGCAGCTTCTTGTTGATAGCGATCAGGTGTTTGCCACGGCAAGCCACCTATCTTGTGACTTCTAAACAAAGGTAGATCAGTTATTTCCCAAGAACTTACATGATCAACACAACCCGCACCAGTCACAGCAACATTGAAGCGAGTGGTCTGAGTAATCAACCAATTCGTCAAATGTCCACCGTAACTGTATCCTCCAATGCTTAGTCTTTTAGGATCAACAATACCATCTTGTATTAATGCATCAACACCAAATAAAACATCCTTGCCTGGTGGTGAAAACAATTCTTTAAATACACCTTGAAGAAATTCATCACCATAACCTATACACAAAAAAAAAATAGATATTATCGATAATATCGTGACATACATGATTTAGCATACCTGTTGAACCTCGATAGTTTGGTTGAAACACAAGCCAACCTTCTGTGGCCATCATCAAAGCAATATCGAGTCCACCGACATGAAAAACATTTAAATTGGCTGAATATGGTCCACCGTGCATGAGTACTAATAGTGGTAAATTTTTCTCTTGATATTGATCTGGAGGATAGAGAAGAATACCTTCTATTTCGGTTCCATCGTCTTTATTTGTCCATCGATATTTTGTACCTTTGGGTAGATTTCGTTCGGTAAATAATTTATTTTCATTTGTGACTTTCTTTGCTGGTGTCAAATGATCAATTGTATTTGTAAAATAGATTTCTTGAGGAGCATCAAATGAAGAATGAATGAAAGCAATTCTGGATTTGTTGTTAACAAAATTGGTAACGATATTTTCGTAAGTTCCATTCCAGCCTGTTCGTTTGATCAATGGATGACATATCGATTCTTGAGTATAAACTTGTATCTCCGTATTCAATTGACAAAGAATAATAACACCCTTTCGACCTCCTTCTAACAGGGCAAAATCTTTTACTGTACCGGAGAATTGATCAGCCCAACGATCAACGTGACCGTTGGTAATATTGAGTGAGTAAAGTCGTTCTTGATTCTCGTGATATCCACTTTCATTCGACACGTCACCCTCAACTGTGAATAGAATCGTGTCATTATTCAACCATTTCAAATTTCGTTCTGAAACATGATTTTTCATCAATAGAACAGGTGTGAGTGGCGAAGAACTTGTCAAATCATAGGAAAAGATTTTATAATCATCCATTGACTCCATCTGGTGCACAGATTAATTCGAGCACGTGCAATGAAATATTAAATACAGGTTCAATTTTCACTCGGCTTAAATCTGTAATGTCGATACGATAGATTGTATCACCTCGTTCATTATCTCGATATTCAACGACATCATTCCATTGCTCATTGTATGCTTTATAGTATTCGTTTGATAATTGAGTTCGTGATGCAAAGTAAAGACAAGTATTTGTATTCGACCAAGTAAAAGCGTGAATAGGCTCTTTTCTTACTGCAATAGGAAATGTTTGTTCAGTAAGAGTCGAATAAATATTCATATACACTTGTTGTTCATTGGCAGCATTATTCAATGTGTTTCGAGCTATATAGACAATCCATTCACCTTGCCAGAGTGGTTTCGGTGAGCCCATGGCACTGCTAGTCACCAATTTTCTATTCTGACTATTGAGCGATTGAAGATAGAGACGATATTCATTGATATTTTGATCCCACATAAGATGTTTTGTTTGAATAAGAATCGATTCATTATTGTCCGGCGCAAGTGTCAAAGATAAAAAATCTGTATAGTTGATAAATTCATCTAATGTAAATTTAGGTTTTGATGATGAATTATGGTCGGTCATATCTAGAAATAGAATATTAAATAAAAGTATTAGAAAGAATTATACTTACTCTATTTTAACTTATAGTATGCGTATCGTTTACTTTTTAATGGATGTTGAGGTATTTTGTTATTGCAAAATTTATATAAAATATTTCAGCAACGAAATAAATATTGTCAAAGCCACATTATAGTGGTGTAACAATTTGACGCATATATATAATGTGTCCACATGTACCATTACCTTGATAATATATCCACGTTGTAACGATACGAGCTTGATTTTTCTTTCTTTTCTTGAGTATGAAAATTTCTCTCATCTATCACATTTGTGATGAGATATAGATGAACAAAAAAAGCAAGTTAAATTATAATCGAATGAAAAGAAAGAAAAGAAAAATGATTGGAGTGTTCTCTCTATCAATGACAACGCGACGAAAAGAGATGTCATGTGTATACTAAGCAGAAGAAAAAAAAATAATGTATTCTTAATATAGTAGAAGTATTTAAAGTTATCATAAAACATTTAATTATTAACTTTATATAAAAAGAAATACTAATTATATCAAAACTTCTGTCTTTCAAAGATCAATGAATTGATAAGGAAGAAAGATGAACCGAGAAATACGGACATACATTTGTTTTAATTGTTTATTCTTCATAACAACACATTCAAAACTATTCTTTTTCTCAATGAAAAATATTAATCCAGTAAAGATTTGTCTTGTTTTTCTTTCATTTACATGTCGCTACGATGTATGCAGAAAAAAATGATAGAAACAGAGAGCTTTTTAGGGTGTGGGTGTACTATGCATCACTCTTACACTTTGAAAGTAATATCTTCGATAGCAAAAAAACTTCAGAAATGAAAAAGAAACAAAACAAAAAGTATAATTTATTTTCACCGCTATCGTCGTGGTTGTTCTTCATGTAAATTCAAATTGTTTTATATTTATTCACCACTAAGGCGCATCATACAGTCACGCAATTGATCTTTGATTTCTTCACTTTCCTAACAAATTAACGAAACTATGAATGTCAAAATCATATTCTGGCACGTAAAAACACTCACCCTATTCTTTAATTTTACATCAAACTTCATGTGTTGAGATATTTTCCTCAAAAGATATTGGATGCACATTTAATTATTTTCATAGTGAAATAATCTAAAATAAAATATAATATTCAGTTAGAATACATTAATCTTATCTACTGCTCAGTTCGATGTTGTGATTTAATCTAAATTTAGTAAATTACAAATAAAAGCAATAATAGGACACTCTAAGCTATAAGAATGTGGGTGTGACTATAGATAGAACACACTAATATCCACATCCATACTAACACCCACACTTACCTTCACTCTCACTTTGCCAGCAACTTATGTGGCCTCTTATCTTTCATTTTGTTTCTTTCAAGGTCAGTTCTGTATTTTCTGTTTTGTTTTTCTCAAGGTTAGTTCTATATTTTCTGTTT